ACAAAAATAAACAAAAAATTATAATACTTAGCAGTGAGATTATCATGATCACGAACACGATCTTCTCCAAGTACTTCATCACATATCCAGCAGTTGACTGCGTTCTGAAACTCAAGCTCCAGTTCTGCCGTCATGCGAATTGGCCTGATATCAGCCAAATCCTCCTGGATACTGCCTTCCAACTCTTTGAGACTGTCGAAAAAGTTGTGAATGGCATTCTCACTGCAGTCGTCAAACTCGCCACGGACTTCACCGTTGGATCGGATGGCAGCATATCTACAAGAGCATAAAAGAAGAGGGAAAGTAAGAATAAGTGATTTTTTTGAAAAAATGGAATCACACAAAATGCACATACTACAACACGAACACAATTAGGGGAGAACAAGACAAGAAGGAATAACAGGAAGCACTGTGGAGGCATGAGTACAGCAAAAATTAGTCAAAAACAACACCAACAACAAAACATACCTGATGCTGCATGGTACATGACGGGCTGTGCGTACAGTGCTGCTGCCATGCTGTTCCTCCATCGGCTCAATGATGGCCTCCGTATCAGCGTAAATGATATATGGAGCCACCATCCTGTGCTTCAAATTTGTATATTTGAGGATGCTGTCCTTTGCTGTGGGCATGACGACTGGCACGGGCTTCATCACCTGACATCTCTCGCTGTGATGCTGCAGGGAGTCTGCTGTTTTGTGTGCGGAGAGGCATCGGAAGCAGTAGTGTGTTGCCCGCTTGTTCTTATTCTCACATGCACGACTGAAGTTTTTTATCCATGTGAAGTGGTTGTCATGTAGAAGCAGGTTGATGGGAGTCTCCTGTCGCTCGCTGAGATACAGTGGGTACAGATTCCCCTCGTACCCAAACACATTGATTGCAAGACCATTCTGTATCTCCACTTTGGATACATCACGGAGCGTTGCAGGGAACATTACACCGTCGAACCGCAGCTCCTCCACATACTGGGTGTACTTGGATGCACGCTCAGCATGCTGCTCGACGGGGTGCAGCGCTGACAACAACGCCCACATCAAACACCTGTCATCGTTGTTCTTTACGTTAATGATGGCCTTCTTTTTTTCTAATTTCGGCGGGATAGCAGCTGCACCACCTACAGTACACCACAAAAATACAACGAAGGCTTTGCTCAGAGTAACACCACATCACAACTACACCCTCTCGACAATCACGAAAAACTGTACATCTGGTACGAAACATACGTCTACAACTTTCCACAAGAAATTCGACAGGCTTCGAACAAACACTGTCGGATGAACAGAAACTCACCTCGAAGAGGAGTGTACTTTGCTGTCGACACATCCAGCTGCCTCACTCGAGAAACGGTCCAGTTGGATCCGTTCTGCACCCACTTATCAATAAGACCAGTGATCCTCGCCACCATCGTCTTGACTGCACTATCAATATCCCCTTCGCTGAGGATCCGAGCCGGTCTACTTCTAAAAAACGGGACGGCAGACGTACTACCCGTGGCCGACTCTCGTGTCATCTCCACCCTCAAAACTAAAACCACCTTGAAAGGGTGAGACTGAAGCTCCTCGAGCAGAACCTGTCGGAGCTCGTCATGATGGCTGCTGAAAAAGACGAGAGGATCAGTGCCTGAACCTGGCAAAGAAAACTTTTTCAAAAAACCACGCACGGCACTCGAGGTGGGCTGTCTGGGCTGCCTGGATCGTTTTGCACTTGGCTCCGCCATCGTCACGTCACCTCCAGCACTGCCTACAACATACTGAGGAAAAAATCTCCCCGTACAGCGTATATGAGGTCGATCACCCTACAATGACACGTGTACACCTTGTGTATGCGTCTTTTCCGCAGGGCCACTGAAGGTCGCACGCTCCGCGTGCTTATGCGCGCATGCGCAATATGTCACTGCACATCTACGATGTGCAAATCAGGGAGTAGTACGTATTTTACTACTCCCCTGTGCGAATGCACCGAACGTGCACAAGTGCACGGTCGCCACGGAAAAGAACATGATGACATTTATGACATGGCAGGGCCAAAGGTCAAACCCTAGGGGGTCCCGGGGCCAGACCAAGCGCGCCCGATACAGTGTGCCTTATTTAACCCAAAGGTCAAAGGTCAAACCCTGGGGGAAGTCCCGGGGCCAGACCAAGCACGACCGACACAGTGTGCCTTATTTGGCCCAAAGGTCAAAGGTCAAAAAGTGGCCCAGAACCCGCCCCGCACTAACTACTGTGCCCGCGTGCGCCGGCCAACCCATGCGGAGTTGCACACTCTTGTTTATCTACTCTTGATCGTAGCCATAGAGATACTAATTATGGCGACTGCCAAAGTCCGCGTGCACGTGCAGCGCGGAGTGCAGGTGCAACAAAAAGAAAAGCAATAATAATTTGAATGCAGAACAAAACAGAAACTAGCAATCTGCTGAAGTGAAAGACTAAAGAATTGGAAAACAGTGTCTGTCAAGGGGTGCTTGCACCCAGCGACAGGGTGACAGCACACCCTGTCAGCGAGAGTAAGTTTCGCCAAGTAGATCGTAGCGGAGTTGCCGCGGATGGCGATAATGCAACGGATCAAGTACTAGTAAGTACATGTACATTGCAACCAAATTAGTGTGTCAACAATTCTACTTATAATAAATTAGCACGATTCACAAGATATTCCGCTCGTGAACATGTCGTGGTACGAACACGCATAGCAATTACTGTATCGTAAAATGTGTCGACGTAGACGTAACAGATATGCACTCGTGATGTAACAGATCTAACAGACTAACAAATAAATATTACACTCGCGAAATGCATAGCAGTAATACGCACCGCACCAATATTGCAAGCGACCTAGCAGGTCTTAACAATACTGCCCTTGCAGCATGTGACAGTTCTGTACACAAATCGTAACTACAATACACTAATAGTATCAACGTGCAACATGTGACATGTGATAGTTCTGTACACTTGTAATAAAGGTCAAATTTAAGAAGAGCAGTACTAGACTAAATGGCTGAGCACTGAGCAGATGTTACTCTATTGTTTTCTGTCACGGGCATACATAGCTGCCGAGATCACGAAGGCAGCTGGGCTTAGAAATGCAGATACATGTAGGTGGGAGGCAGACGTGTATCATAATTTTTTTATGATCCACCTTGTATCACAAAAGAGCCAATTTGCGCATTGGGGAAATTTTTTTACGAACTTTAGGCATTTGGATACAGTAGTAACACAATTATTATGAAGCTGTTTGGTCAGTCTGTTGAGGAGGAGCATTTTGACTGCATCCATTGCATGGGGTAACATAAGCAAGTGTCTTGTGGGAGGTTTTGCAGGACTTCCATCAATATCAACAACAGTCTCAACAGAACATAAATTCAGAGAGGGCCCCAATGCGCAAATTGGCTCTTTTGTGAGAACCTGTCCTATGGGCAGGTGAGAAGGCATCTCTGCCTATTCATTTGGTGAAGTAAAACAATACAACAACAACAACAACAACAACAACAACAACAACAACAACAACAACAACAACAACAACAACAACAACAACAACATACACACCCCACAGAAGACACTGACGTATTTGGATGAAGAAAATGTCGGGCCATTTTTTTCTCGATTTATCACATTCAGCTACTTCTAACTTTTTTCCGTATGAATACATAATATGTGCATAGTCAATTTACTGTCAACAATGTCATTTCATCACTGCTCGGCTGAGAACACATTACCTTCGGGAAATGGAAGGCGGAGTCGCTTGACCGGCCGAAGAACATTCTCTTCGAGGCCAGGCGAACTATCAGTAGAGGAAAACACACCAAAAGGTCTGCAAACTTGCAAAGGCCTGAGTCGAAACATTTGCATGGTACGTCACCACCCAAGGCGTATCCCTCCCCCCCCCCCCCCCCCCCCCCCCCAACGCACACACACATACACACATCCCGCTGGAGCTCACCATGAGTGAGACACACCATGAAGGTCACAAGTTATCTGCTCATTCTTGTGAGTTGATAACTCTTGAGCATTTCACACGAGTGTGGACGGCGAACAGTGACCAACATGAACGGTACAAAATAGGCCTCAGCAGTTTGGAGAGAAAGTACAGCATTCTCTAAACAGAATGAATAATGAATTATACATTTTATGGTAAAGGGTTAATTGAATACGTACAGAGCTAGTCTTTGAAACCCAGAACTGAAAATAATACAAAAGAAAATGTTACAGAAATGTGTGAACGCCAAGGACCATACACATTCTACAGCAGGCACTAAACGAACATTCGCGGACAAGACTATACGAATACTTGTATACATGCACGGACAACAGCGGAAACAGAACTCATATGTATAGAAAGCAGTGGGTGAGTGAGTGAGAGTGAGAGAGAGAGAGAGAGAGAGAGAGAGAGAGAGAGAGAGAGAGAGAGAGAGAGAGAGAGAGAGAGAGAGAGAGAGAGAGAGAGAGAGAGAGAGACAGAGACAGAGACAGAGAGAGAGAGAGAGAGACAGAGACAGAGAGAGAGAGGGAGAGAGAGAGAAAGGGGGGAAGGAGAGAGCTGGAGAGAACATCCTAAATCCCATGGACCAACATTGGCACGTGGTTGTTTGCCTATGCGACAAGGACCCACGCATAATTGATAATCGATAGTCATTCAATAGTGCACTATATGCGCTACGCTGATGAAAGTAGTGCTAGAGTAATCAGAATATAATGGTGACTAGCATTGAATCTCAAAACGAAATACTAGTAAACCCAAGAGAATATTATCCTTGCTGTAGGCCGGAAATACGCCCATAGACTTAGTATAAAGTCGCGAAACCTATCTATTCAACAGGGCAAATTGTAAAGTCTAGCACCCGAGAGCATGGTGAGCGGGGATCTAGTGGGGATGGAGTGGGGGAAGGGGTGGGGAAAGGGTGGGGCGGGCGGATGGAGGGGTGGGGAGGGAGTGGGGGGGGGCACGTGGACAGGGGCAGGTACAGAGGAGGGATAGAGCATCCACATTGCGGGGGTGGGGGACGTGGATCGGGCAGGGGCGGGGGAGGGAGTAGAGCCTCCACAACACGGCGGTTGCATTAGTGGGACTTTGATTACGGTACGCCTGTTCAAGGCCTGGTTCTAGAAATCCTACATGCGCTACTACCGTTATACCTCTCACAGGCCGTCGATCAGCATCGCCTTATCCCTAGGTGTGTTGTACAAGTGTCTAGACTCAGTCTACAATGAACACATCAGTCACACACGTACTCTGTGAGATGATGTCCGGTCTCAGAACCCCATCATCAAGCGTCAGAAGGAGGAACAGGAGGTAACTGCCACCGCCAGCGGCAGCAGTAGTCTGTATGTCAGCACCAGGGTCTGTGATCCCTAGACTTAGCATGGCCAGCAGAGACAAGTACCCAGCGGAACACCAAGGTCTGCAGACCGTCCATACATGTACAGGCCAGCTAGCTATGATCCGTGGCACGGTAGCTTGTGCGTGTGTATATGTCCTGCAACATAGTGAGAAAGCCCCGATGAACGTGACGAGAGTTTCTGGACAGCGATCTCGGGAGTGCGTGTGTGTGTGTGTGTATGTGTGTGTTTCTATGGTAGCCATGGTTGCTCAGCTTTCTGCACTTGCACCACTGCTTGGATCCGTACACACACCATTGCCAGGACTGCACATACTCGTACAGCCTGCATTCTTTTCTTTGGTTTCGGTCTTTGTTGGGTGACCCTAACCACTTGCATTGCTGCAGGTTCTGAGGGCAGCACCGGGTGATTGGATTTCCGAGACTGGGCGGCTCAGGTCGAAGAAGCCATCTTCCTCGTCTTCAGCCACCGAGAAGCTTGCCCTATACCGCGAGTGCATGCTGAGTGCATGATCTTCGCTCAGCAGGGGTTCAGTTCTATGCATATACGCCTTCTTGCTAGCGCTAGTCGGCCCTCGATTGGAGCTCGTTGCTTCCTCGTAGATCGAATCTGAGTGCTGGTGGTCGCCCAATGGTAGGTTGGAGTTAGCATAGATTGTAGTTGATTGGTCAGGCTTGTATCTGTCCAGGGACACCCAGGGATCTTCGTAAGTCCACGTCTCTGGCGATAGGATCTGCGTGTCCATGTGTTGGACGTCAGTCGTGTAGCACGGTGACTTGAGTGAGTCCAGTGTTGGAAGTGCAAGGCACACATCCTCTCGGTAACTCTCGGCAGTGCACGGCCGAATGGCCTGCGCGAGATCCCAGTGCGTGTCAGCGGCGTCTTTGGCCGTCGAGTACACACTGCACTGATCATCAGGTGTGAGTGCATGCCCTGTAGAGATGGGTATACTAGCACTGAAAGACACGGTGGGAGTGGCTTGGTTAAGGTCCATCACATCACCATATACAGGTTCAATCACGTCGGACACGTCGGCTGTGCCGGAGTTCTGCCACTGGACTACATATCCTGATAGGTCAGACCCGCAAGTGTCTCGATCAGTCGCCCACCACTCCTCCTCTTGTCCATCAGGAATGCTTTGCTGGACAGACTTTCCCACTTCCAGAGTTTCCTCGCCGTAGATAGGATTGACGGTCATGGCTTCATTGTCGAAAGCGTCTTCCTCGTTGATCGTAGCTTCTGTGACAGCAAAACTGAACGTACTGCACTTGCTCATTCGGTGTAGATGGTTGTTGCCCTTCAGTTCGCCGTCTTCCTCGATGGGCAACATTGATGATGATAAGCTCATCTGTATGTTGCCTGCTGATTTTCGCTTGTGACTTGTACTGCCCGAACCCGGTAGAGGGCCGCTGCCGCAGACATCAACAGCACACTTGCTTGCTTCACCACCACCGCTCACTTGCAAGGAGGATGATGATGTGATCGACACCACGGGACACTCGTACAGGTCCGCTGTGCTCTCAGCACCACCACCACCACGACCACCACCCAGCACACCATAGGCATTGGCGTTGCAGGCGTTGTAGACACCCTCCACCTTCTTCCTGCCAGTGTTGCTGCGCTGCTCATCATCTGCATAGCCGTACAGATCTTCATTGTGTTCGCTGTTGCCATACACGTCCTCGGCCTCCTGGCGTCCGAATGCATTGGTCACGGTGTCGTTGAAACTCTCGTAGAAATCTTCTTCGGTGAAGCACATGGTCGATCGGCGACTGACCTGGGATGATAAGTAGTCATTTACGTCTGAACTTGTGGAGGTAGTCTGCTCCGGGATCGTCCTGTCAGGTAGGTGGCTGAGTGACGTGTCTGCAATAGCCGAGCCTATGCCACCGTTGGGCGGATGAGATTTGGAGAAGGCTGCACTATATCCATGTGACTTCCAGGTCCTCAGCTTGGCCCGGGCAAAGTCGAGAGCTTCGTACACCTCCCCATTGCCCTGTGCTGGCTTCAGGCTGGGCAATTGATGTTCAGGATGCTGCAAGCGTCTCAGTGACTTAATAACACCACGCGCCGCGCCGTTGTTCATGTATACTGGATCTGTTACAGGCGGAAAAGAAGGCAGGATACATTCACCATTCATATGCATGCACATACATACACAGACAGACACACAGACACACACACACACACACACACACACACACACACACACACACACACACACACACACACACACACACACACACCCACATATGCCCCAACCCCACTCACAAACACACGCGGATGTACACACGCACACATGCACACCCATGTGCATGCCCACATGAACAAAATGTACAAAGCATTTTCATCACATGCATTCTAACACGTCTGCTACCACAGCTGCCGACAGTATCCTCTCATGCTCATATCCAATAGCCAATGGCACTTTGAACACTTATACATGGACAGCAGCAGACACAAACATATACACACTCGTACGCGTTTATGCTTGCAACCCCCACCCACCCACCCACCCGCCCACACCTACATGTCCAAACAACATGGACATCCGTACGTGGACGCATGCACACACATACATTTACACACCCAAAAACACATGCGCACACATGCGCACACATGTGCACGCACGCACGCATGCACACATGCAAACACACGCACACATGTACACACACACACACACACACACACGCGCACACACACATGCACACACAGACACAGACACACACACACAGACACATGCACACAGACACGCATGCACACACACACACATGCACACACACAGACACACACACAATCAGACAACACTCACCTCACACACACACGGTATGCCCCCACATGAGCGCGACCCAAAACAGCGTCGTTGACTTCAGCGTCCCCCAAAAGCCCCATCCCCATAACTGGACATCCCCAAAACAGACCACCCCGTCAGCGCGCACGCTCAATACAGGTCGACTCATTTACACTCAAACCCAAAAGATGGACACTCGACTTGTCAAAGACTCAAATCATGATCAACTCGAAATGGCCAGTTCAGTATTGAAGGGCGATATTGCCTGGACTCAATTTATAATCAACTCTAGAAAGCAATGATGAACTAAAAAAAGCAATTATCGACTCAAAAACACCAGTTCAGTATTAATGGCGATATTGCCTGGATGGACGTTAACAGGTCCAGATACAAATAGGTTGTAGTCAACTCTAGAAGGCAATGATCAACTCAAAACAAGCAATGATCGTCTCAAAAAACAGTTCACTGTTAAATTTTTTGGTTTTCCGAAAATGGTAATCTGCAATGGATTGTCATTAAAACAGAAAAAGAAAAAAATAAGGCACCCATTTTGATAGTCCAGGGGATGGCCCACGCCTGGTAAAGAGAAAAAAATAGAGAAGAGGTAAATATTCAGAATTTTCGCTTCGCTCATCTTCCCTTCTTCGGTCCTACGTAACCACGAACCTTCCAAGTTGGAAGGTTGGTTTGCGCACTGGAGATGTGTTAGAGCTAGGTCTCGGGCCGCTGAATGTCTCAGTGGCCTGTCAGTTTCGTGCCCTATTATCGCACAGTCACTTTTTGACTGTTTATCATCTTGTTACAGTCGTGGATAGTTGCTGCACAACTCGTTCTCATGTGTTTCTTCTCTTTTTTGCATATCTTTTTTAGGAACAGGTTTGCTCCTGATATCCACCATGGTAATACTAACATCAAGAGTACATAAAACCGGTTATGCACTCTTGCTAACATGAGCCTGCACATTATGGGTCACGTGTGTAATGAGCTGGCTTATATTCGGACGTTAACGTAATTGGTCGCGCCAAAATGGGGCGTGCAAGAGATGAGACGAGCTGTAGTGACACCGTGTCACATTAGGTCGCGCTGTACTGGGGGTGCTAATATGAACACGCGCCGTTTATGGTTGCGCTGTTTTGGGTGTAAATCACACACACACACGCACACAGACACAGACACACACACACACACACACATGCACACACACACACACACACATGCACACGCACACACACACACAATCAGAGAACACTCACCACTGCCCTTGGAGTCATTCTTATCACTCTTCAGGGACAAAGTGGCCATCCTCAACTGCTTCCATTTGCAGGCTAATATAGCAACGACAAGCAAAGTCAGACAACTGCCTGCTCCTGCACCAATGGCTGCCACAGAGCTTGATGTAGTTTGTACATTGTCTGCATCGGTATCAACTGAAAACACACACCGTTCAAGCCAGGCACAAACTTAGTCGAGGGAAAAGCAGCCATGCGCGTTCGTCTGTTCCCTTCTTGCCACTTTCAAGGAAACCAGCCATGAAAAAATATCACCCGACATCTGCACAGCCTAAATGCTATATCTCGCCTTTCTGGTCTACTGACACTATATCTGCACACAAATTGTATTCCATCCTGCTCGAATATCAATAGTCGATATCATGTAATTAGGCAAATTTGCCTGTTTGTTCTTCGACTCTATAAAATAAACAAAAAAACAACAAAAATAATAATACTAAGGGGCCATCCGCAAATACCGATATTTATTTAGAAACGAAAACTAGTCGTTTCTCTTCAACCCCCCACCTCAGAAACAAACACATACAAACGATGCATAGTATTGTTGGGTATTTCACAACAGCCGACAGGACAGCAGACGGACGTAGCGAATCGAGTTCTGGGCAAGATCGTCAGTCAGTCGAGAGAGAGGTTTCTTACTCACTAGCACAACTGACAACGGGAACAGGTAGGTTGATGGGAACGACATTTATTATAGACGACGAGACAAGAGACCAAGACGAACGAAACGACTACATTGTGATTATTGAAGAGAGAGATTATTGAAGAGAGAGAGAGAGAGAGCTCGACTGAGAAACAACGCAATATAAAGGGCCTGGGTAGCTCTGGCAAACATGGGCGCGCAAGTAGCTACCCAGGCCAACGGAACGAACGGTGAGTATGACGTAGTACGGGTGCATGCAGGCCGGCCAGCTTAGGAAAGTTTGTAGGTAAGATTGTACAGGAGGAGGCACTTAACAGTATTGATATTTTTTCTTTTTTTTCTGGCCGTGCCCACACATACAAACTGTGCATCGATATTTTTTCTTTTTTTTTCTGGCCGTGCCCACACATACAAACTGTGCATCGATATTTTTTCTTTTTTTTCTGGCCGTGCCCACACATACAAACTGTGCATCGATATTTTTTCTTTTTTTTTCTGGCCGTGCCCACACATACAAACTGTGCATCGATATTTTTTCTTTTTTTTCTGGCCGTGCCCACACATACAAACTGTGCATCGATATTTTTTCTTTTTTTTTCTGGCCGTGCCCACACATACAAACTGTGCATCGATATTTTTCGAGAAACGAACAGGCGCTCAATACCCTCCCCCCCCCCCACCCTCCCCAAACGACTAGTTTTCGTTTCTAAATAAATATCTATATTTACGGATGGCCCCTAAGGGCGCATCTTGCATACAAAGATGTGCGCTTGATTGTGCCGCGGCTATCATGCACACACATGTGAGAGGAGATAGCGATACACTTACCTATGCAACTGTCACCAGAGGCTACAAAGCCCTGTACGCACATGCAATTGAATGAACCATTGAGATTACCACATACTGCTTGCAGATGACATGTGTGTAGGCCAAGCAAACACTCATTCACATCCGAGCAATTCTGACCATTACCGGTAAACCCAGCCTTGCAGACACAGGAGAAAATTCCCACGCTGTTGTGACAAGCGGCATTCGCGTCACACGGTGAAACTCTTGAGGAGCATTCGTCTATATCAGAACATACCGCACCGCTGCCAGAAAATCCCGGCCGACATGAACAAGAGAAGTTACCAGGTCTATTGTGGCAATCAGCATGCTGGTGACAGCTGTTGTCGGACGCGTTTTCACATTCATCCCGGTCTCGGCATTCCACCCCGGAGCCAAGATACCCTGCTGCACACGAGCAGGTGAATCTTCCTGCACTATTGGCGCACTTTGCATTCTTGTGACAGTTATGCGTGCCCAGTTTGCACTCATTCAAATCCGTACATGCCGTTCCATTGCCCGTGTATCCGCTGTTGCAAGTACAGACGTAGTTTCCCTTTTGATTGTTGCATGCAGCGTTAGCATGACAGTCCTGTGTACCCAACAAACATTCGTTTAAGTCCGTACACACTGTTCCATTTCCAGTAAATCCGCTATTGCAACTGCATGAATAGCTTCCGTTTTGGTTACGGCACTCCGCCGAGGCATGGCAATTGTACAGCCCGAGTGCGCATTCGTTCAAATCAACACAATTTGAGCCATTGCCACTGAAGCCATGCTTACATGAACACGAGAAGCTTCCAATTGTGTTGCTACAACTTGCCCAAGTATGACAACTATCAGTTCCTGTTCGGCATTCATCAATATCCGCACAAGATGTTCCATTGCCTGTAAAACCTTGCAAGCAGCGGCATTGAAAGCTGCCAATCGTATTGGCACACACTGCTTTCCCATGGCAACCATGAGCCCCTGCTTGGCACTCATCAATATCCCCGCAAACTTTCCCGGAACCTCGAAAACCATCGTCACACGCACATACAAAACTCCCTACGGTATTGCTGCAAGTGGCTCCGTCATGGCAATTATCACTACCCAATCCACACTCATCTTCATCGGCGCAATCAGTGCCATTACCGCTGAATCCCCCGTCACAGGAGCAGGAATGCGTGCCAAGGTGGTTGCTACATGTAGCATTACCATGGCAACTGTGCGTGCCAGCAACACATTCATCAATATCCGAGCACAGCATGCCGTTGCCAGCAAATCCCCTTGCACACGTGCACGCGTACGTGCCGCGGAGGTTGCTGCACGTGGCGTTCTCATGGCAACGGTCCACTCCCAGCGCGCACTCGTCGTCGTCGTGGCACTGTATTCCGTTCCCATGGAAACCAGCCCTGCAGGTGCAGTTGTAGCCGTGGAGCGAGTCTATGCACACAGCATCAGCATGGCAAGTGTTCAGCTGCGGTGACAGGCATTCGTCTATATTCTCACAATGTGTTCCATTACCGGTGAAAAACGCCGCGCAAACACACTCGTGTGAACCCACTGTGTTCTGACACATTGACCCCGTGCTCTGGCAGCCGTGTGTTCCATTTGAACATTCGTCCACGTCATGGCAATACGAGCCGTTGCTTTGGTAACCGAGAAAGCACTGGCAGAGAAAAGAGCCTGCCGTGTTGGTGCATGTTCCTTGCAAGCCGCACGGTATCCCCTGAGGCTGCCCGGTTTGCTCTGTCGTGGAGACCACTGGTGGGAGCGTGCCTGCTAGTGTTGTGGGTGAGTGCATTGTGGGTGCAGACGTGACTGGGTGGGTGGCTGGCAGTGACGTAAGTGGGTCGGTGGTCGGTGGCTGTGTCATGGGCGAGGCAGTTGTCGGTCCTGCGGCTGTGCTAGTGCTGATGGCGACGATCGTGCGTTTACATTCATCATAGTCTGAACACGTCCATCCATTCCAGGAATAACCAGCACCACATGTACATTGATAACTGCCATGGGTGTTGGCACAGGTCGGCGTTGCTGTGCCCGCATAGCCACTGGATCTACAGTCATGGCCTCCCTGGTCACATTCATCCAGGTCTCCGCAGACCGGCCCAACGCCATTGCCGGCTTGCTGTGAGGAGGTGCTGTTGGTGGTTATGTTGCTGATGTCCTCGAATCCAGTCTGGCATTTACACTCGTAGAACCCGTACGTGTTCTCGCACACTGCATTCTGGTCGCAGTCCTGAACACCACTGCTACATTCATCAATATCTGTGGGAAACACACACACACACACAAACACACACACACACACACACACACACACACACACCTCAGACCTGCCCATCGCGGAAGCGATGATAGCGAACAGCTATGTTAGACATAGCAACTTGTGCTAGGATTACATCATTCAACAGCTTGCAAGGCTGATGAATTGACCGCCACTGTTTTTAGCCTGGTATCCACCACACCGCTGATTGAAGTGACTTTTTCTGGCCAGTGAATCCCTATTTTTCATTTTTTCATTTTTTTCTTTTTTCATTTTTCTTTTTTTTCTACACACACACACCACACCACACCACATACACACACACACACACACACACACACACACACACACACACACACACACACACACACACACACACACACACACACACACACACACACACAACAACAACAACAACAACAACAACAACAACAACAACAACAACAACAACAACAACAACAACAACAACAACAACAACAACAACAACAACAACAACAACAATGCCTGCTTTTTCGATCTAAGCAAGGCCTTCGATCGTGTGTGGCATGCAGGCCTTCTAGCAAAACTCTCCCACTATGGTGTCCAGGGCAACGCCCTGGAGTGGTTCCGACGGTACCTGTTGGGGCGTCGGCAAAGGGTCCAGGTGGATGGCGACCTATCGCCTTTCCTCGAGATCCCTGCCGGCGTCCCTCAGGGATCTGTTCTTGGGCCGCTTCTATTCCTCGTCTACACCATAGACCTTCCACATGCATGTGAGAATCCCGGCACCACCTGTAGCCAGTTTGCAGATGACACCGCTCTGATTTCCATAGCGAGAACTCTTCAAGACTGCACCCGAAACCTACAACAGAGTGTCACAGCAGCTGGAGACTGGCTTCAAAGATGGCACCTGCTGGTTAACACAAAGAAAACAGTCATCCTCCCGTTCTACCACAATAACCGCCCCCCTGAACAGCTACCCCAGATCACCCTCAGGAATAGTCCGCTTACCGTAGCACAAAAACACAAACACCTCGGAATAATCTTTCAGCATGACCTCCGTTGGACGGAGCATGTTGAATACATAGTCAAAAAATCACTCAAGTCTTTCAATATTCTTTTTAGACTAAGGTCTACACTCACCAGTGATTCTTTATCTCACATCTATCAGACATACATACTACCTATATTCTCATATGCGAGCACTGCTCTCACACCGTTGTCCCACACTTCCCTTGACAGGCTAGAACGACTCCAGCGGAAAGCCGCCAGAATATGTCTCCACCTTCCCCTTTACACACACTTAGAACACTCCCACCTTTTGCATCGCATCAAATGGCCAACATTATTTTCACGTTTTAAAGTTAAACATATACTCTTCGCGCATTCTCTGCGCCACAATTATGCCCCACCACATATACTCTCGCTGCGTACTGCTAGCAACGTGCAACCTTCGTATAATTTACGTCGCTCTCGTACTTGGCACTTGCCAACTCCGCGGACTGACCGCTGTCTCCATTCTCCCCTGTACAAGGCCCTTCATTACTTTAATTGCCTGCCCACCCAGCTTCGCGAAATCCCTTCTCGTACTCCCTTCAAATCCGAGATATCCCTGCTGTTGCACAACTCTGTATGCTCGTGTAGCGACCACCCCTGCCCGTACACTTAAGTACGCAACTCTGTATGCTCGTGTGGCGACCACCCCTGCCCGTACACTTAAGTAGTCATTAACCCCTAGGCCCTGCCCACCCAATTCTTCCTCACTCTTTCTCCTTTCTTACAGTATTATCTCTTATTGGCCACTGGCTATCGTGAGAATAAAGATTTGAAAAACAACAACAACAACAACAACCAATTCCAACCTCACAAAGGTAACGTTATTATCTGCTACGCAGACTGACGCACTGCTGGGGCACGGGTTTTTTATCGGCGACAGCCATTTCTCTGTACGCCCTGCATTCACCAAACAACTACAACTCCATATCTTTGATGTCCCGATCTGGATCGAGAATACCGTTATCTGCAGTGCTTTGGCTGCATTTGGCCAGATCCAGGGAGACATCCGCCATGGTCAAATTCAAACCCCGTCGGGGATTACTGTAGGGACAGGTATGCGATTCGCCACCATCGAGCTGAAAGAGGGATGTCGGCAAGTTCCGTCATTTGTCCGCACAGCCGACCAGCACCAGTTTCGTGTCCGTCACGAGGACCAGAGGGCCACCTGCAGGATCTGCATGGGGGAGCACTTTGCTCGATCGTGTCCGAGCAAGCGGCCCACGAACAAACCACCCACAAATACACAGAGCACCAATTCGGCTGCACTCCCTGGATCACAACTGAGCTCGGGTACAAGTGCGCCCGATGCAGGAGGTAGTGAGGCTGTTGTGAGTGCTAGTTCAGGTAGTAGCTGTACAAACACGGACCCCAGCGCGGAGCCCGAGAGCTCAAATCAATCCACCAGCTCAGCACGCACGCGCACAGAGCCCAAGGGTTCACACTCATACGCCAGCGCAGCTCAACAGGGAGCCCACGCACAGTTCAACTGTACGCACGGGGCGGCCGAACAGGTGAGCACTGCACCCGACGGATCCCCTGCTAGTACTAGTACTAGTAGCAAGGATGCAACACAGAAAACCGCTGAAATGAACAGCGCCAGTGCGTCTGAGAACACAACCAGCGACGGGGAATCCAAGGAAATACAGAGCAATACTCCATCCTCTGTCGACCAAACTGAGGTAGCTGAAAGTTCCAGCTTGCAGGTAATCGCTCCCAGTACACCCCCAATGTCCGGCACCCCTCCGCCTACAGGCACTGGGGCAGGCCACGACGACGGGGCCACCACGGTTGCCTCTGACGATGCGGATTGGATACCCAGCGGTCCTCGTCGTCGCCGACACAGCCACGGCCATTCGACCATGGAGGAGAAAGCCAAGGCCGATGGGACATGGCCCTCCCCTCAGAGGAAACACCCGAAATACTGAGTCCAGATAAGTTTCAACAGCTAGCCAAAAGACAAAAACATAAAAAATAAATAAATAAATAAATAAAATTCCCCCCAAAAAAAACAATACCAATGTCAGTGAATTTGAACTTTCTCAGCACCAATGTGCGTTGCATATTCAACAAAATGGACGAGTTACTTACCTTTACCCGTTCGTGCTCTGAATCTCAGAACGAACTATCAGTCATTGCAGTCCAGGAAACCTGGGCTGACACATCAGACCCTGACAGTCTCTATGCAATCCCAGGCTACAAGCTGATCAGAGCTGACAGACAGGACTATGGTGGTGGTGTTGCCTTGTACATAGCGGAACGTTTCAACACAAGGGTACTGACAATACCAATGACAGCAGCAGAATGCATATGGACGAGAATATCCACCGGTAACCTTTCCCTCGTTGTTGCAAACATTTACCGACCACCCCGTAGCGATGGCACCCTCTTCTATGCGGAACTGGACCGCTAGAGCCGAAGGTGACGACCTCCTACTACTTGGAGACTTCAATGCCAAGAACAGTGCGTGGCTCACCACAGACAGAACAGATCGCCTTGGGGACGACATACAAACTCTGCTACACACATACGGCCTCACACAACATGTCAGATTCCCTACTTACATCCACCGACAAACACCTCTCTCATGTCTAGACCTTGTTATCTCCTCACTCCACACCAATGATATTCATATCCAATCACTTCCACCGTTTGGCGCATCTGATCACACTACTATCAGTGGCCACATCAATAATCAACTGCCCCCCATAATTAACAACTCCCCTCCACGATCCAGAAGCACCACATTCTGGTCATGGACAGACAGCACTATCCACCTTCTTCGAGAAGCCCTTTCACGCACAAATCTCAACCACCATCCAAACCAACACGACCCATGCCCAGTTGACACCTTCTGGCAATCCTGGCGCGACGATGTCATGAGCATCGCCCAAGAACACTGCCAAGTTACTCGCACTCACCCCCCTTGGGACAGGAAGAACGTGCCAGCACGACCATGGAAATCAAAGGGCCTCTTGAAAGAGATCAAGGATAAGCACAGAAAACACAGAATATACCTTCACTCACGCTCGCCTGACGACTGGAACACGTTCACTGCCCAAAGAAACCGTGTCACCACCCTCCTGCGTCGTGCTAAATCGGATTTCGTAAACAACTCAACAGCCTCCTCTACTTCCCTACACCGCCTCATGAAGCACCTAACTACAGCTACAAAACAATGCATACCCGAACTCGTCAGCCAAGCAACTCCTGCAACGACACCAGCACAAAAAGCCGCTGCCCTCAACGAATTCTTCATTTCACAGAGCAAGCTGTCCGTGGCCAATGCGGATGAGCAAACTCCAGCCATCAACACCACCCCTGACATCCTCAGTCCCCTTCAAGAAATCTCGACTTCCCAAGCTGAGGTCGAAAAACTCCTCCGAGGAGTTGATACCAACAAAAGCCCCGGGTTTGACTCTATTCCAAACCGCCTCCTCAAAGAAGCGGCTAAGGAACTTGCACCGTCGTTATCGTCCCTCTTTAATCTATCGTTCCAAACCGGAGAAATCCCACAGGAGTGGAAAGATGCCACCATTACTCATGTACCCAAGCCGGGTGACCCAACCCAACCAACAAATTATAGACCCATCTCTCTCTTGAGCACTACATCAAAAATCCAAGAAAAAATTGCACATCAACTCCTCTACAAGCACATCACACCCCACCTGCCCAACCAGCAGTCCGGATTCCGCGAGAAAGACGGCACTGAGCAGCAGCTCGCCCGTCTCGTCCATACCCTCTCCACTGCGAGAGACGGACGGGAAACACGTCAATGCCTGCTTTTTCGATCTAAGCAAGGCCTTCGATCGTGTGTGGCATGCAGGCCTTCTAGCAAAACTCTCCCACTATGGTGTCCAGGGCAACGCCCTGGAGTGGTTCCGACGGTACCTGTTGGGGCGTCGGCAAAGGGTCCAGGTGGATGGCGACCTATCGCCTTTCCTCGAGATCCCTGCCGGCGTCCCTCAGGGATCTGTTCTTGGGCCGCTTCTATTCCTCGTCTACACCATAGACCTTCCACATGCATGTGAGAATCCCGGCACCACCTGTAGCCAGTTTGCAGATGACACCGCTCTGATTTCCATAGCGAGAACTCTTCAAGACTGCACCCGAAACCTACAACAGAGTGTCACAGCAGCTGGAGACTGGCTTCAAAGATGGCACCTGCTGGTTAACACAAAGAAAACAGTCATCCTCCCGTTCTACCACAATAACCGCCCCCCTGAACAGCTACCCCAGATCACCCTCAGGAATAGTCCGCTTACCGTAGCAAAAAAACACAAACACCTCGGAATAATCTTTCAGCATGACCTCCGTTGGACGGAGCATGTTGAATACATAGTCAAAAAATCACTCAAGTCTTTCAATATTCTTTTTAGACTAAGGTCTACACTCACCAGTGATTCTTTATCTCACATCTATCAGACATACATACTACCTATATTCTCATATGCGAGCACTGCTCTCACACCGTTGTCCCACACTTCCCTTGACAGGCTAGAACGACTCCAGCGGAAAGCCGCCAGAATATGTCTCCACCTTCCCCTTTACACACACTTAGAACACTCCCACCTTTTGCATCGCATCAAATGGCCAACATTATTTTCACGCTTTAAAGTTAAACATATACTCTTCGCGCATTCTCTGCGCCACAATTATGCCCCACCACATATACTCTCGCTGCATACTGCTAGCAACGTGCAACCTTCGTATAATTTACGTCGCTCTCGTACTTGGCACTTGCCAACTCCGCGGACTGACCGCTGTCTCCATTCTCCCCTGTACAAGGCCCTTCATTACTTTAATTGCCTGCCCACCCAGCTTCGCGAAATCCCTTCTCGTACTCCCTTCAAATCCGAGATATCCCTGCTGTTGCACAACTCTGTATGCTCGTGTAGCGACCACCCCTGCCCGTACACTTAAGTACGCAACTCTGTATGCTCGTGTGGCGACCACCCCTGCCCGTACACTTAAGTAGTCATTAACCCCTAGGCCCTGCCCACCCAATTCTTCCTCACTCTTTCTCCTTTCTTACACTATTATCTCTTATTGGCCACTGGCTATCGTGAGAATAAAGATTTGAAACAACAACCCACAACACATACGCTTGCTCAACACCCCCGCTCAAGTTACGGCCCAGTACAGCCTTCGACACGCACGCACTTGGCACCTCCCACCCTCCAGAACCGATCGCTGTAAAGACTCCCCACTGTACAAGTCCCAAGAATACTACAATGCCCTCCCTGCTAGCATTCGTGACGTCTCCTCCCGACCTGCTTTCAAACAAGAAATCTGCTCACTGCTGATTAACTCAATCTGCTCCTGCAGCGCTCACCCTCTCCCATACTTGTAAAGTTCAAAGTGATGTAAATCACTTTCCAACTGTTTAACCCACAATCTCACCTTCTCATAAATTTATCTCTTATTGGCGATGGTGCCATCGTGAGAATAAAGAATTCAAACAACAGCAGCACAAGCAGCGCAGCAGCACCATCAGCACCACCACCATGGACCACCACCAGCACCAAAGTTGTAGTGGTGGTGCCAGTCAAGCCCATACCTACCAACCATACCGATTTGACCAGGACCGTCCCCGATATCAAGGGTGGTAATATGCACCCAAAAGAGGGCCGCCTCATAGCTAAATGTGTATACATGTTCATGATGATCATTTTCTGATGATCGCTTGGTGCTTGAAACTCGGAGTAAAAACACTTTTTCATCCTCTTACTATTGTTTGAACTAGCTCTGCCTTTCGGTATTGAGCACTCTACTGGACAGCTTGGAACCTCTCCGTTTTACATTTTCATACCCAGGTATGTCATTGTCCCGATCTCAGGTTCGCAAAGGTTGACAGGTGTGCAATCTAAAGTGAGCCCCGCTGCTTTTGTCACATGTTGAGATTCAATAGCATTGCAACTGAAAGAACGTGTGTCCTGTCCCAACTCTCGATACAAAATTCAGACTATGTCGCACTTCAATGACGGAAACACACATTTTGTGTACACTATTATACAAAAGAAAATGACACCTTTGACTCCTCTCGAGTCACCACGACTCGATTCCTCGGATTCAAGTCCACCAGAACTGACAGTCCAATCAAAGTGACAGAGTCTTTTTCCCCGGGCGGAGTACCCTCCCTCCCCCCCACCCCAACCCCCCACCCCAGCCCCCTCACGACCCTGCCTGACATTCTTGACGGAAACAACAGTGCTACGTACCAACAAATGTCACCGGCAATGTCCTGCTAATGCTGTGACTGTGCACGCAGGCTGCCTTGACATTGGGATTGCCGGTACAGGCGAAAGGACCTTGCAGCGTACATGTAACCAAGAATGTGACATTCTCGACTGGTGAGAAACGGTCAGCCGAAACCGATGCACTAATGTTGACCGATCCATTACTCCCTCTAGTCACCAGTCCGTCGATGTAGAGGTGACGAGAGACAGAAGGGTCATTGCTCGTGATTAACAGCTGGGGTGAAGCGTCTGACGGCGCTATACCAGAGCAGTGTATAGGCACATTCGTTGTAGACTTTGAAAAGAGCTGTGTAGAACCCATCTGGAAGGCTGCAATAGACGGCTTGTCTGTATCTGACACAGCACACATGGAAGGATGCACGACTGATTACATGCACAAAACATGAGCATTAGCCCAGCCCTAGATGTACAACCTATCTGCATGGTTGCACGCACGCAAATTGGGTACACGTTGTGCACACGCTGCGCACATGTTGCACATAGACAACCGTACCCATACCCCCCCCCCCTTCCCACACATACACACACGCCCACGCACACCTACACACACACACACACACACATGCACGCATGCACGCACACTCACGCACATTCACACCCACACCCCCCGTCCACACACACACACATGCATGCATGTCCTGTCCTGAACATTGCCGTAAAATGGTCACATGTCCCCTCATACAAGGGGCCGACAGACATGGGGTAGATCGTTGAATACGGTACGCAGCACGCTCCGCAGGCTAGCGGCCAACGAGAGTTCGGGTGCATGCATACACACACACTCTCTCTCTCTCTCTCTCTCTCTCTCTCTCTCACACACACACACACACACACACACGCGCGGACACACGCACACAAGTGTGTTTGTGTATTTGCTCACTGCCCAAACCTCGTTATAAATCGGAGAGGGGAGAAAATTGAGAAGAAATCTTGCAAAGATGATTCACAGCACCATTGAGCTAAGTAGCAAAGGACAACACCCAAAACTCTGAACGACAAAGGCAGTGATAGAGAGGGGTTACATAGGGTGCTGTGTACTTGAGCTATTGCTATAGCAATGGATCGGTGATTGGTGTTCACGTACGGGCATGCACACTACTCTACGCATAAAATGACATCATATTACTAAAAGATGACATCATGTTACTAAGTGATGGCATCATAACTCATCATCAATGAAATCATGGCAAACACCTATGCAAGATACTACCCTTACTGAAGACAGTCAGGTTGAATGAAACCTTAGATTTCCTGCCCGACTCCCCCAGACACTGGTAGAGCCCGGAATGTTCCACTTTGAGACTGAACTGCGATGGATCCCAGTACAGACGTCCAGTTGTATTGGGCATTGCGGACACGACCTGTTGAGTAACAGTGTTCATTAGTGTTAAGTTGTAGCCTGGTGATATTCTACAGTGTGGCATGTAGTCCAAATCGACACCGCTGCTGATGTTTGTACCGGCCGGGTAGGAGACCGTGTAAATCTGCGTGCTGGCATTGTACCCACTCGTGTCATTACTCTCCAGGTACACAGTCAAGTCTAGAGAAGGAGTACGACACGAACAACAACAAGAGATTGTATTTTGGCTATCACTCTGAATCTTATCTTGGAGCTGACCGATGGAACTCCCTCCCTGCCGCGATTCGCACTATATCCCTGCCTGCTGCATTTCGCTCCGCTATCTTCACGTGGCTAGGGCACCCTGTAAGAAGACCATGTCTGTGGGGACTGCCCTAGTAAAATATGAATAAATAATAATAATAATAATAATAATAATTCAAACAGTAGTTTGGAGGCGGTGGGAAAAACAGTTTCGTAATACGTATTCGCATGCAACGACGCAAATCCACACAATTCGGTAGACACTTTTTCTATCAAACGTTTTCTTTCCCTTCTCTTCAGGATAGTACAGGGAATGTTGGAAATTAGAAAAACACATAACTATATAGAGAATGAAAGAAAGAAAAAGTCAACACTTCAACATAGGTGTTAAAAATGATTGCAGCTGTTTGTTTTTGAGTTTTTAACACTTTAATCATTTTTAACACCTATGTTGAAGTGTTGACTTTTTCTTTCTTTCATTCTCTATATAGTTATGTGTTTTTCTAATTTCCAACATTCCCTGTACTCTCCTGAAGAGAAGGGAAAAAAAACGTTTGATAGAAAAAGTGTCTACTGAATTGTGTGGATTTGCGTCGTTGCATGCGAATACGTATTACGAAATAATAATAATAATAATAAATAATAATATTCGAACGTTTTCGGTCCCTTCTCATCAAGGATTATACAGGGAATGGCGCAAGTTGGAAAGACTACTTCCTCCGCCCAGGACATTTTTTCGCTTATCTCCTTCAGCCCAATGACAGGTGTCTGACAGCAATTTTTGCATCTTGTGCACTTCACCATCACACAAATCTGCTGGTTCAGGCGTACCAGTTCCAAACAAGTCGGCGAAGTCGGCAAAGAATAAAGAAACATCTAGAGTAGAGCGCGTTGAATGCGAGGGAACTGGTAAAAAAGACACGAAGTCAGTCACTGGTCAAGGTGGGTGCTGCTAGAGTACTACTGCTGGCACTGGAGTACGGAGCAGAGGTGTCATGTTGCGAAAAGCCAGCGTGTTTGATTGCATCCTGCTCAAGGTGTGTGTACGGTAAAAATGCACGCGAGCTTGAAGCTGAGAAAGCCACTCAGCGACGCTCGCCCACATACTGCAAAATGAACCAGAATCGGCACTGGGCAAAACAGTTGGAAAAGAAAGGCTTCGATGACAGGGTTGTACTCGCCCAGCTCATTCGCCTGATGTCAACGTGAACGATCCAGCAAAGCGACGCTGACTGAGCTCGCCAGCTTCGGCTGGTAAGAAACACAACCGATCGTTCTCGTGAAGGAGGTGAAGCGCTTGGGAAAGTGTCGATAGAAAATATTTGCGCTTCTGGAAAGTGCGAAGTACTACCCGACAACAAGTGCTGCGTCGGCTGATGACAAAGGATGACTTCTACATTTTTCGACTTGGAGAGTTTCTCTTGATGTTCAACGACTCCTCAACTCATTCTGAGTCGTTATAAGCCGTTCTGAGAACCTGGAATGTATCAGTAAAAACTGTAAAGATAAGCGAACATTTTGCTTGGGCGGAGGAAGTAAAACTTATATAGCGTAAAGATAATTAGATAACAACACTCGTGACAAGGTGGAAAATTATCAAGTTCAGCACGACACAAAACTCGAAGGAAAATAATAATAGTGACAACAACATAGTGAGCACATTAAGTTACATTGTTAACACCTCGACGAGGTGAAAGTAACCTTATCTATATCTTTCAATGCCGACAATGTGAAGATCGGTATGTAGGTAGAACACTTCAGCACCTGGGCGCGCGCATTCGTCAACATGTGCCGTTAAGTTGTGTTCCGCTTGATGCACGCGATTGTCGTCCTCGCCGTGGTCGTCCTCCAAAATGTGCTGTCCAGTCCATCAGTGGATCTTCCTCTTCCCGTGAAGATGTGACTGCATGCCCGTCCTCCTCTGGGTGTGTAGGACACGGGCCAGCTGAGAACAGCATGAAAGATGGTGAAAGACCGACACGTAAACCACCGAAATTGACAAAGGATCTGTTGGCGTCGGGAAGAATGACGCGAAGCCAAGTGAAAATACGGACTGGTGAGGACGAACGTACAACGACAACGGAAGTGACAACAACAGTCAATATTCGAGAACGTGGTAGACCGCGAAAATTAACCTCAATATCGGACACCGGACAAGTTGGAGTAAGAAGCTCAATAGAAATCCGCAATGGAGGAGACGTAGCTGAAAGAACACTGGGCATCGCGCACCCAACGGTTAGTGTCAAGAAACGTGGAAGGCCGCGGAAACGCGAAGGGACGGATAGTGGTGATGCCACGAAGAGGCGAGATGACGGGACATTGGAGGAGACAACACCCAACGGAGCTAAGAATCGCACTTCGTCAATCAAGCAACATCTGTCAGCCCGTACCAATTGTCGTGAGTTGTACAGTGATAATGTTTTCTCAATATTGTCACGTGGTAGGTGTGCGTTGCATTTGGCTGTGTTAGAAGCTTTGTATATCCGTAAGTTAGATCCTGAACTTTGCGTACAGAAAGAAAATGTGTTGTCGCTACAATTGTTTGGTTTTACTCCTCGTCGGGGTGTTGACAATGTAACTTAATTTGCTCACTATGTTGTTGTCACTATTATTATTTTCCTTCGAGTTTTGTGTCGTGCTGAACTTGATAATTTTCCACCTTGTCACGAGTGTTGTTATCTAATTATCTTTACGCTATATAAGTTTTAGTCTTTCCAACTTGAGCCATTCCCTGTATAATCCTTGATGAGAAGGGACAGAAAACGTTCGGATACTTATGACAAGTGCCTTATTGTGACTGGATGTGTGTTTGCGTGGATACTAGCGACCCATAACTTACCTTCGTTTTAAAGTATTATCCGCCTCCGACCTCTTTAAAAAAAAATATATATATATAGAAAGGAAAAGGACATAAGGATACGAGTTAAGAGTAACTCTCCATCACTGTAACTGGATACTATATACAGTCAGAAAGTGCAATAACTAGGCACACAGCTGACAAGAGTACTGAGACATTCGACGTCCTGACACCTAGCTTCAACACATCTCCGTAGCGCTAACCGACAGCCTTCCAACTTGGAAGGTTCAAGGTTATGGAAAGACCAAAGAGGAGAAGGCAAGCGCAACGAAAACGAGCAAAAGCTACAGTCCCAACGGAACAAAGAATGAAGTAGTGGTGGCGACTTCGGCGATGACTTGTAAGAAAGGGTTTGCTCCCCACACCGGAGCTCGCGCTATTCCGCCGAATTTACTTGACACTTGACTGACTCACAACTGCCATCCAGAGCACACGAGAAGTCCATCGAACCTTCGACTCGGCAAACCTGCAAGAAAGCACCACTCCGTGCTCAATACACAGTGTTTCGGGGAATTCACCCCTCATCAGTTGAGCTTGAGTAGGCTGAGGAAGATTGTGCCTGAAGAGCACCACTTATATAGTGCTCTCCAGGCACAAACATCACCAGGGATACAAACTTACAGAGACGCTCCGTTTCCAGCGCGACAAACACCTCGTGAACACCAGATAGCAGCGTGAGTCAGTGTCGCTCCTGGACGGTGAGACAGACGTCGAGGACCCTCGGTCATTCGCAACGCTGTCACCTCCAAACCAACTAGTCGCAAGCCCGCGCTGGGCACAACAGTACGAAGTAGTGGTGGCGACTTCGGCGATGACTTGTAAGAAAGGGTTTGCTCCCCACACCGAGTCGAAGGTTCGATGGACTTCTCGTGTGCTCTGGATGGCAGTCGTGAGTCAGTCAAGTGTCAAGTAAATTCGGCGGAATAGCGCGAGCTCCGGTGTGGGGAACAAAGAATGTCGATTGTTACTGGATGATGACGAGACCAGTACGATATTTGACAAAGCGGTCTAACTACAATTCGAAGCAGCAAAGCAGCACACCACCCAACTTGGGTGGGTCATAAATATCAAAGATAAGTAAAGAAAGGGGAAGCTTTGCGAAAACGAATTGTACAAGCCGAAAGCCAAACTCCTACAGTACTCCTCATTTATGACCCACCCAAGTTGGGTGGTGTGCTGCTTTGCTGCTTCGAATTGTAGTTAGACCGCTTTGTCAAATATCGTACTGGTCTCGTCATCGTCCAGTAACAATCGACATTCTTTGTTCCGTTGGGACTGTAGCTTTTGCTCGTTTTCGTTGTGCTTGCCTTCCCCTCTTTGGTCTTTCCATAACCTTGAACCTTCCAAGTTGGAAGGCTGTCGGTTAGCGCTACGGAGATGTGTTGAAGCTAGGTGTCAGGACGTCGAATGTCTCAGTACTCTTGTCAGTTGTGTGCCTAGTTTTTGCACTTTCTGACTGTATATAGTATCCAGTTACAGTGATGGAGAGTTTCTCTTAACTCGTATCCTTATATCCTTTTCCTTTCTACATTTATTTATGGCTCAACACCCGAGTTTCAAATAATAATATGTTAGGAAATTAGAGGCCACATGCCATGTACTGCTCTTTTCTCTCCGAAACTCAACACTTGCAAGCCAGATATGAAAGAAAGAAAAAATCATCAGTCACACCACCGGGACGCGAACCAGGGACCTTGCTATTCGCGAGCAATGCTCTAACCAACTGAGCTACAGTATGACTATTATCCACAGTGATGGTAAATCTATCCCTCTTCGATCAATCAATATCTGGTTTGTATCATACTGGCAACTCACACCAATCAAGAGGGCCCTCGGCCATTCGCTTGATATCATGGGGAGCGCATCAAACTATGTCCACTGCGAGCAAATACAAGTAATTGCAATTTCAAATTTGGACTTCACGGAGAATTTCACAAAGTGTTAGGAAATTAGAGGCCACATGCCACGTATTGTTCTTTAAAAAAATAAATAATAATAATAATTTTTAAATTCTTACCGCCCACGGCCGCACAAAGTCCTTGGCTACAAAAAAATTAAAATCTCTCCAAATCTCTCCAAACCAAACTTCAAATTCCTAATAATAATATTAACTGGTTTTGAGGGAATGAGACAAACAGGAAAAGTCTGAAGAAAAAATTGACTGTCACCACCAGGACTCGAACCAGGGACCCTCGCTTGTAGCCAGCGATGCTCTTACCACTGAGCTATGGTGTAGTCGTCATCCCAGCAGAGACCGTTCAACATTTTCTTCAGACTTCATAATAATTTCAAATTTGGACTTCACGGAAAATTTCAAAGTTTTTAGGAAATTAGAGGCTAAAAACTTCATAATAATAATAATAATAATAAGAGCTTGTTGGCAGCTCAACAACAGACAACGGCAACCTCTATCATTGTTCAAGAAGACGTGTGTGATAAGACGCTGGCCTCATCTGACTTAAAATACACTGAGGCAAACGATAGCAATGATTATCGTATTTCCCCGGGGTATACCAGCGAGCCGCATCACTCTCTCTGGTTCAAGCCAGGCCATCCCCTCGTCCCAAGTCACATCAACCTCTCCACCTCATATAGCTGGCACTTTCAAATCACGTTGTGAAGAGTTAGTTCCATCAGGCTCACCTTTGAAGGAAATCACGGCAGGATGCGTGGTAAACGATTTCGAATCTAAAAAACTGCATTGATATAGGTTTGTGTATAATGACGAGCACTTCAGCGCGGTGACTGCGCACTTGAACGAGTATTGATGGTCAGCCTTTATTCCATATTTAGACGGAGTGACGAGGAATGTAGTGTAGGCGAGTGGCGAGGAGGCGTGAGCAGGGGCACTCAGTTTCTCGTCAGTCAACTTGTGTGTGCGGAACACCAGGTGAAACATGAAGTCCAGTGCTTCTGGGTTGGGGCGTGAGCAGGTGACATTGAACGGATCTTGAACATCCTTGGTGGTGGTGAGTCCAGCATCCACCATCAGTGACGTTGGTGGATTATCTAAGATAACGCGAACAAACGAGCAGAATGCATGAGTATGCACACACGCGCACATACACAGACACGCACATGCACAGGCACAGGCACACACACACACACACACACGCACATGCACACAGACACACACACGCACACACACACGCACGCACATGCACACACGCACGCACGCACACACACACACAAACACACACACACGCACATGCACACACACGCACGCACACACACGCATACACACACACACACACACACACACGCACGCACACACACACACGCACATGCACACACGCACACACGCACACACACAACACCAAGAGCACATACATGTAACCCCCAAGAGTGTGCAACTCCAGCTATGGGGTGTGCAACGGCAGAACTTCACATCACGTGATGAACCCCAGGGTTCTAGCCAAAGAGAGGGGGTTTGTTTGCACGCTCCCCTGTGAAAATGTGCCGGCCCCTACCCATTTTCCGATTTTTGTGTTTTTTCATGCCATTCAATGCAAATTCAGTCGATAGTCAGTACTAGAGGGTTCATAAAGGCACGAAGTCAGGTGTTCGCCCTGAACGTTGCATTTTGCATTGGAAGACTGTTACTCTAAAAATGGAAAAATGGGTTAGGGGGTAACTGTTTTCCCTGCCCCCCCCCCCCCTACTATTTTGACCTGGCTAGAACCCTGAACCCGTACACATTTCTTGAACTCTGTGCATGATAGATACAGGGTTGTACGCAACCCAGCTTTGGCTTCAACTCTCTTGTGGTCACTTTGCACTGTTTGCCCGTGTACTCTAAATTCAGAAATTTTCGGTGCTCAATATTTTCGGTATGAGAGCAAAAGGCTAGGTTAGGTGAACAGAAATTTTCGGTACAGAGAAGCAGTTCCCTATTGGGTTATGTGTGTTAGTGTTTGCTCGGCGTATTGAAATTTTAGGTATGAAACAGACGCACGGAAAGTACCGAAAATAAAAGTACACCGAAAATTTGTGAAATTACCGTAACCTCTTGAACCATGTCAGGTGATGTGAAGTTCTGCCCTCCCAATACTGTGTAGAGGTTGTGCAGGCAGTTGCACACTCTCGGCGGTTATGTATTCTTGATAATACAGTAAAACCTGGTGTAAGCGACCTCTCGATTTAGCGACCACCTGCTCTTAACGACCGTTTTTCCATGCACCGACAGTTCTACACAGACACTGTGGGACCTGATTCTAAAGACCACCTGGCTTTAACGACCGCTTTTCCTTGCACCGTGGGGTGGTCGCTTAAACTAGGTTTTAGTGTACTTATAATTATATCCTTCCTTTCTTTCTTCTTCCATTGCCATGACTGGCTATATGACACTGTAAGTGGCAGACCAGATGTGTAGCCCACGGGGTGGGAATGTCAGACTCGCCAAATCACGTGCATACACACACACACACACATACATATACCCGCACATGAACACACGTAAGCACACACACACACGTGCGCACACACACACAACACACACACACACACACACACACACACTTGTTGCTCACTGCCAAAACTGGTCACGTGGGTCTTCCCGTGAGAGGGGAGAGAGACTCAAAAGGAATCTTGGAAAGATGACTCAATTGGCTATTGAACCGCCCAACGGCCGACACCCCCTGAAATCCCCAAAACTCTGGGTGGACTTGAAAATGATCGCACTTATGGGCTCGCCACACCTCAGTAAGTGGGTGAGGACAAGGTGCAGAAAAAAGGATTGACGGCATCAGGGTTTCCGTCCCGGGATCCAACTGCAGTTACCCCTGCCCCCGGTGAAGGTAATACTTGCTACTAGTGTGGGTGGCTATATCAAAGTAGATCTGATTTAAGCGTCACTAGCACCATTGATTACACAAGAGTTAATCTAGCCAGAAGCAGTCCATGGTTAACAGGTATGTATACTTCTGATAGAAAGTATATGAACCCTGGAACCAACAAAGGTGGCAGGTACAACATTACACCTTCAAGTAGCCGAGCCCATTGGCAACAGGCCCAACACAATCAGGCATAAGTGTACCCACCAAACGAACTAGCTGGCACACACACACACACACACACACACACACACACACACACACACACACACACACACACACACACACCACACACACACACACACACACACACACACACACACACACACACACACACACACACACACGCACACCGTGTACCATGTACGCCCGTCAAAAAGAGAAGCATGCCAAGTTCTGCAAAGGCACTGGATGTACGCCCACAGATATTTTCTTACAACAGCGATAGCAGGCAAAATCTGAACAAAACAGATCAAGACTAGCCCCAGAAAACTTCTTAATCCATACAACTGCCGAAGCCATGTGAATCGACTCCCAATGCACACCTGGTCTACACCACATGGAGCACGGTGGAATAGGACGTCCAAGACAGATAGTCACCGATGCACACCCTACACATGCTAGGCTAAACAGTATAGACATCACGATGCTTTGATAGGAGCAGATACAAGGTGCATTGCACACACACACGCGCATGCACACACGCACGCATGCACGCACACACACACACCTCAGACCTCAGACATGCCCATCGCGGAAGCGATGATAGCGAACAGCTATCTTAGACATAGCAACTTGTGCTGGGATTACACCATTCAACAGCTTGCAAGGCTGATGGATTGACTGCCACTATTTTTAGCCTGGTATCCACACACACACACGCACGCACACACACGCACACACACACAGACTAAACAAATCCTTACGGTATAATTTAATGCGGTATCCCCTAGTTGAGACACCTCGGTCAGACACACACCTGTAGGTACCTGAAAGAGGAGTTTTCTGCTTGCCAGTGTCCCAGAAACCTAACTTGAGTGGAATCTGACTCTTTGTTCCTGTCGCATTGGTACGAATGAGCTGTATTCCAGTATCATTCCCTCTGCAAGCTGGCAGATAGTTTTTATGGTCATCTTTAAGTACTAGCACAGTGGTATAGACTGTGGTGTAAGTCTGCGTGCTCACGTCGAAATGTTCCCTGCTAAACATTTCCACATAGCCCTTTCCTGTACACAGAGAGAGAGAAAGAGAGAGAGAGAGAGAGAGAGAGAGAGAGAGAGAGAGAGAGAGAGAGAGAGAGAGAGAGAGAGAGAGAGAGAGAGAGAGAGGGAGAGAGGGAGGGAGGGAGGGAGGGAGGGAGGGAGGGAGAGAGAGAGAGACCAACAGGCAGACAAAGAAAGAGAGAAAATACAGGGATAGACAGGGAGAGAGTCAGAGACACCGATAAAAATCAGACAGCCAGACAGACCGCCAGACAGACAGACAGACAGACCGCCAGACCGACCCCAAGACAGACAGACAGACAGACAGCCAGACAGACATACCGCCTGAGAGGCAGACAGACAGACCGCCAGACAGACAGACAGACCACCTGACAGACAGACAGACAGATTACCAGAAAGACAGACATACAGCCCGCCAGGAAGACAGACAGATAGACAGATCACCACACAGATCGCTAGAGAGATAGACAGACGTCCAGACATACAACATACGAACAGACCAATAGACAGATAGACAGACAGACAGACCAACAGATAGACCGACAGACAGACCGACAGACAGACCGACAGACTTAGGAACATACAGACAGATCAACAGACAGGCCGACAGTCAGACCGACAGCCAGCCAGAGGGACAAACAAAGGTTACTGCTTAACCCTTTACCGGTCTACCATAAGCGTACCAATACTATAGTATCGGTACGTTTGCTCTCATTTTTTTGGGGTCTTGTTGCTAGGAGACAGCTAAAATGGCGCTCTACGCGTAGCTGAGGTCCAAGGCTTTCTGACGATGTGCAAAACAACCATGCTTACCATACAAATTTTTGCCGTATCGATCGACTGAAGTTTGTTGAAATTGGAAAAGACGACCATCCGCCATGCGCGCATTTCAAGAATGCGAGTGCATCTCTTGGGGCCGTGTTTGACAAGCGTTCTGAGAGCAGTAACATCACCAGTCCAGGCTGGATGTCCCGGGAGGTTTTGCAGTGTAGTGTGTTGAGAAAAGAGCTCCGTTGAGTCCTGCTAGTTCAAAAATATATCATCCACGAATGAAGAAACAAAATTCTCCAAACAGAGAGGAAGCCTTCTTGCTGCCGACACGGCGACAGCGACTGTCACAAGGACTCGTCAGGTGCGATCAGCTGATTCGCCTGGCCCTGAGAATCAGGGCATGCGTAAGCTCGCGCCTGAGTACTCATCTGAGCGAGAGTGAATCTGACGCGAGCAGCGCTGAGATGAACAAACCGAAACTGCGATATCGTGGAATGGGAATTGCTGCTGCTGGCGTATCGCCGATGGCGATGTGTTGGTGTTCAATGGCGGTATTGTAGAGAGCCTACATTTCTTGTAAAGACGTAGCCCTTACCTGATTGTTTATCGTACGACTTCAGCTCCATCACGAACTTGGTATGCCCTTCGTGCTGTGATATTCGTGTATTTCATTCGCAATTGGATTTTCTCTCTCAACTTGAAGGGCTACCATGGGCCCTATCCTTGCCTGGACCTAGTCATATTTGAATTTTCTGGACGCGTTCAGGCATACAGATTTTGAAAATATATGGTTTACCCATACCTACATCACATGGTTCTTGAGTTATTGCTGGTTGTGTGTACATGTATTTGCGTGACCACCCCTCACATACATTGAGTTAGACCGGCAAAGGGTTAATCCACATTGCTCGCAAAGTCACGTGAACAGAATGCAAATGCACACCTGGTCTCCACCATGCAGAGTACAACATAGATAAACCAACGAAGACGACTACTTGACTGTATATCACATGCACGCCTGGCATAAGCAGGGGTAAGCAGTAAAGGTAGGAAACTGCTTTATAGGAAGCAGCCTCAAGCAGGCATTAACTCCTATGGTACTGTTGAAGTGAAATTCGAGTTACTGTATCGACCAGCCTCGACAACTGAGCTTCGGGAACTTGCAGACAAGAGTCGTGCGTACCCCACAGTCACGAAAACTATGTAGCAATGACACACTGGGTTGTCAGGGGCGTCGGAAGGTATTTTAGTGTGGTACGGTCATACATCTGAAATACATGTACAATTTACTCGAGGAGTTACTGGGGTTACTGAACCGAGAAATTTGGAAAAAGAGCCCAGATCAGTGCATGTTAAAAAAAGTGGTACGGCCAATACCGTAGTGACCGTACCGTGTCCGACACCCCTGGTTGTAGAGCCGAAACTAGTCAAACCTTGGAATGTCTTGGCAACATTCCGACAGGCTGGCACACATACACATACGCACACACACACACACACACACACACACACACACACACACACACGCGCGCACGCGCGCAAGCACACACATGCTCACACACGCACACGCACACACACACACACACACACACACACACACACACACACACACACACACACACACACACAGACCATTGTACATACCCAAATTGACACAGAACGCCAACAGAACTACCACACACATAATTGAATCTGAAGGAAGAGAAGACAAGAAACAGTACATTCAAATTGATTGATTTCCATTTTTAATCGTCGGTAAAGATCATTTTCATTACTAGGGAACAATCCAGCAGTTACGCTATGTGGAATCTTGCCCAATGGCAAATCAGGCAAAGTGGCCCAGTTTTCATTGCAACACTGTGCTTGAACATGTGTGTGCGCCAAGCAACATCTGTACCACTTCCATAGCGCCAAGGGGTGCGAAAGTGTAGGGTATCAAGTATGTTTAAGCTCCACACAACACTCCTATTCGTTGCATCCATTTTGGTTTGTTTACCGGTTTGATCAAAATTACAATGTTTTTCTCATGTCACCAGCAATGCTCTGCAATTTCTGTCTCGCCGATTCTAGGTCACAGATGTATCTGATGCTCTGCTAGCGCTTCTTCTATATCCCCTTCTCTCACCATGTCTCCCTATGTCTCTCTTGACGTCTCTCTCTCTCTCTCTCTGTCTCTCTCCCTCTCTCTCTCTCCCTCTCCCTCCCTCCCACCTTCTCTCTCTCCCTCCTTCTCTCTCTACCTCTCCCTCTCTCTTTCTCTCTCTCTTTCTCTCTCTCTCTCTCTCTCTCTCTCTCTCTCTCTCTCTCTCTCTCTCTCTCTCTCTCTCTCTCTCTCTCTCTCTCTCTCGCTCTCTCTCGCTCTCTCTCGCTCTCTCTCTATCTCTCTCTCTCTCTCTCTCTCTCTCTCTCTCTCTCTCTTTCTCTCTCTCTCTCTCTCTCTCTCTCTCTCTGTTGTGTACTACAGCACTCACACGAATACATGAGCACACACTCACCGGAGCAGGTGCAATTCTTCGCCTACCTTTGCTCCTTGCCATGCTTGCGGTCAAGTTGCAAGTTCAAATACCAATCGAGATGAGGCAGGAAGTGTCCAGTGCAGGAGAAACATGCAGCAACAGCAACGGGCTAGTAGCTGCGCTAGCACCAACAGCAGCGGTAGAGGCAGCGGTAGAAGTAGCGGTAGAAGTAGAAATGGCAGCTGCAGTGGTAGTGGTGGTGGTGGCAGCGGCTGCACTAGAGAAAGCAGCAGCGACAATGGGAGCAGCCAGCAAGCTGCTCCTCACGCCAAGCACCCGGTCCCTGTGCTCAGGAAAAACAACAGCAGCAGCAGCAACAAAAGCAGCCGCACCAGCAGCAACAACAACAACAACAAGCTCAAAAATCAACAAGAATGTATGCACAAACTAATCTGGTGCTTTAAGCTGTGTTTTTATTAGCGGGCTAGATTTCAATACACTGAAGAGAGTTGAGGGGTTACTTTCTTTGGGGGGGGGGGGGGTACGTACTTAGTTACTGACTTAAAAGCTATCCAAGCCGAGCGGGACTGACATTCCTAAAAGTTCTGTTCCAACTGTGAAATCACATAGAGAACAGGTGTCTGGGTTAGAGTCAACGGCCTCACGTGTTTTAGGTCCAGATTTCTACGCGTAGATGAGGTTCTCAACGTTGTGGCACACACATCAAAAATGTGTACGGATCTGCAGGGTATCATTCAAATGCAGGCAGAAAACTGCCATATTTGGAAGGGGAATTCCCAGTGCACATTCTACGTATTTTCTTTTACGTAAGCATAGAGCAGAACAGGTTCCTTTATGTTATGGGGACGCAAAGAGTGTTCCCGCGGTTCTTCGTGTTGCGTTCCCGTTACGTAGAGCAAAACACCACTAATAATTATATTCAGACGTCAAACCTCATGCTTCTTATGGAACTATTCAGGCGCATGCTCCTCAGTGTGAGTGCCAGGTGCCTGGATATAACGACTGCTGCTTGACAGATCCACTACCACCACATGGCAATTTATTTATTGCACAATGTCATGATTTTGGGTACTGTATATAGTAAACTTGATAAAACCTGTCAAGGCGATCACCCGGATAAGGCAACCACCTGTCCTGGAAGACCACTACAACCAGGACCAAGGGATGCTATTTCCATTCAAATGACCCTGGATAAGGAGACCGCCTGGTGACAGAGACTGCACTTTGAAGGTCCCTTGAGCGGTCGTCTTAGACCTGTTTCACAGTACACGTAGTTGCACTTCTCGAGGACTGGAACCATTGTCTACCCGAATCGTGACACCCTGATGCATGACCAGCAGGCAAAGGCATCATTTTCTGCCTTTAGCTGCACTGGGAAAGGAGCAAGTCTTCTTTTTCACTTGTGTCACAGAATGAGATGCTTCATCTCAGACTTCTGTTCAATGTTCACTCACATCGTCCATGATGATTACACAGTTACGGTTCAATGCAATCCAATCAATTGAGTCAGCTTTGGGCCCACAGTGCACGGGTGAAAATCCCAGTGTCCGAAGGTCTAGGGCCGCATACTGCGCAGCGGACGGCGTCTACCTGACTCGAGCCATCGGATTTCATTGAGCAGCACTCTAGTAGTAATCAGATTGTACAATTAATTTTAACGAAATTGTAACCTCTCACGGATAATTTTTTTAAAGGTGAAGACTTTGCCTTTTCATTTACGGTATTTACGCTCATTCATAAATATGTAGACTAGAAAGGAAATATGACCTGGATGCCAATTGAATCGGGGCACGTCGCCTTACCATGTAATGGACATCCACAACCGGTGTTGAGTGCTTCCGAAGCAGCCAGGGACTGGAATGTTCCGAACGCCGAGCCACTTGCGTGACTATAGACTATAATGTGAAGAGAGCTCACACAGCTTTCTAGCCGTGGTCCGTCACCAGGACCTCATCCCGGGACGAAGCGTCTTCGCTGCAAACCTAATCTCCTACAAATACATTTTCAGTAATAATGCTTTATTTTCCATAATTTCTACTTGCCAGTTCGAAACCCCATCGCTCTATAACTATCTAGTATATCTATCTATCCAGAGTTTGGGATCACTTTTCATTCCAGTGAATCTTCAACGAGGCAACGAAAGTGAGACCTATGTCTATGACGCTATGTATATGTAGCAGAGAGTCTGCTACACCGTACACGGATATGGCGACTTCCCAATTCCCGACATGCCTTTGCTGCACTTTGGGAATTACTTTTGGCCAGTTTGGAAGGCGTGCAGCTTGATTATTTTGACCTTTGACCTCAAGCTTACTTCGTTTATACAAGTACATGTACTGTACTGTAGATCTACAATGTAGAATCAAGAGTAGACCTACATGGTTTATGTACTCTTGTCTCTTGGTGGAATGGAAAACAGCAGGCCCTCGGATATTGCTCGAAAAGGTGGCAGATTCTGCTCGAAAAGCAGTGAAATTGGCAGAACCATACAAACCTTATGCCGGGCAATTCCTCGAATTCTGCTCCATTTCTTTATCCACATACTAAACATGCATGAAACTTACCAGAAAAAGTACCGAATTCTGCCAATTTTTCTGCCGGCATTATCATGATTATCCGCAAAGGCCTAGGGCTGACTGCAATTATTAGTGCAAACAGTGTTTTCCACACAATCACACAATCATGCGTGTGTACCATGCGTTCCTCTTTGAAACGCCAGTCCAAATAATTAAAGGGGAAGCGTCAATCACCAGTTGCTGTTGAATGAGTTATTTGATTGTGGGATTGGTGACTCGGCTCTGGCATGGTTTAAAAGCTATCTGAGTGATCGAACGCAGCAGCTCATTGCACCAGGGGGCCTGCCACGCGTGCCATGTACGCAGGGTGTTCCGCAGGGGTCTGTTTTGGGACCTATCCTATTCAGCCTCTATGTCCGTGGTCTTCCCTCATCCGTCAACAGTTCCACAGTTCTGCAGTTTGCGGATGATGTTAATATGTATGCAGCTGGTGACTCTGCTGAGGAAGTCATCGGAGCTTTGAACGGAGATCTGGCCAAGCTGTCTGTCTACCTGGAAGAGAAGCGCATGACGCTGAACCCAGCAAAGACGAAGTTCCTCCTCCTTCACAGAAAGATAACAGCAGTGCCTGGTTCCGCCAGTGTCGTCATTGACGGCGTCCATGTTCTTCGAGCGCAGTCCGCACGCTATCTTGGCATTGTCATTGACGAGCACCTGACTTTTGGGCCACAAATTGACGGTTTGATTGGGTCTGTCAACAGGAAACTCGGCGCCTACCGCATGTCAAGACATCTCTTGCCATTCCACGCACGGCGTAGCTTTTACCTTAGTGTTATTCAGTCGTCATTGGAGTATGCAAGTAGCGCATACGTCCACACCCTCAGTTCTTACTATTTCGATAAGTATGTCCGGCTATTTAACAGGTGTCTAAGATTAGTTTTTGGTTTCGATAACTTTACCAGTGCCTCTCATATTCTTAGCCTATACAATCTCTCTCACATTTCTGTCCGAGTCAATTTGAAGCTTTTTATTCTTGTATTTCGCTCTGTCCATAGCGGCACATGTAGCTCCCTCCTAAAAGAAATTTTCCATACCCGCTCCTCCAGTGCACATACTACTGCCGTCACTAGGTCCCAAATCTCGTTTTCTCTGGCCTTGCCTTCTGCCCACACTAAAGCTGGTTTTTCTCGTCTTGGCTACATAGGTTCTGATCGGTGGAATATGCTGCCTTCCACTGTTCGCTCTTGTACAGATTATCGCCCATTTGTTCGTTCATGCTTAACCTTTCTAGGGGCTCCCGTAAGAAGACCATAGGTCTGTGGGAAACACCCTAGTAAAATAAATAAAATAATAATAATAATAATAATAATAAGTGCATCGATTTTTCAAGTAGGGCTCAGATGAAAGACAATTGGATATCGGTTCCGATGGTATATCTCTCGCTTGCGTACGGCAAGGGAAACTTGCCATATCGCCGATTTCCTGATCCCGTTTCCATGGCGACTACAGGTGATGACGCACATTCTGCTTAGCTCCGTGAGAGAGAAGGTCGATCACTGCATCGTCATTTTCAGTTGTCTTCTTGTATTCACGAAGTGAAAGAAGTACTGTGTTCAATGCTGTTAGTGCCGTGAACTGTTTATTAGTAGTCCTATCCGTTGTGTACTGGGACGTGACACCGACAGGGGAAAGCTGGAGTGCGGAGACGTTAGCTGGCAAGCGAAAATCGTGACGAACCAAGTGCTGAAATCTTGGTTGGGACAAATCAAACGTTCAGCATTTACCTCAACCAAGGACCATGCCGTTTGCTCTTTCCACTTCCTGAAGATGGATGCGCTGCCTGCTGGAGACTCTCCTATCTCTCGTAACATCTTCTGAAGCCAGGTGAGACGACGAGTAGCGGAGATTAGCGAACGAAATAATGTCGTATGTTTTGAAATTTTTGCTGAACATTTTTCAGGAGAGATGGCGAATACCAAGCATCTTCTCCTAGTCTAGAGAAACCATTTCGTAGGCTACATTCCGCCTAGGGAAATGGCTGGGGAGGACAGATTTGGAGGAGAACGAAGTATGTGATCTTGTTTATGTTGTTCTTTGGTATTGCAATCTTATGTTTGACGAACATACGGCATGGTGCATAGTTGGTCGTTGAGTGCCTGCATGTGCATGTATAAGTGTGTGCTGATAAACACTTCCTATGCAAGAATCTGACATGCATGCTCTCTTTCTTTCTTGCAGTATGTGCGCACGTGTGTGTGTGTGTGTGTGTGTGTGTGTGTGTGTGTGAGTGTGTGTGTGTGTGAGAGAGAGAGAGAGAGTGTGTGTGCAGGAGCAGCGTGGAGCATGCCAGTGTGATCGCTGTGGCGTTCTTGCCCGTCGCAAGTGTGTGGCTCAGCCCCCAACGACAGTGGAGCCGTGTTGTGGTGAATACTGTGTGTCCCGCGACCGCTGCTTCCGTTCGGTCCAGGGCAGGAATAGATACCGCTGCTGAAGCTCTCCCCGGCCGTACGTCAGTCTCGTGGCAGATGACCCGAACTCTCATTTTGTGTGTGTGTGTGTGTGTGTGTGTGTGTGTGTGTGTGTGTGTGTGTGTGTGTGTGTGTGTCTTTCATTCTCCTGGGTGGCTACCAACAGCCAGTGCATGCCGGAGTATGTGGTGTGATGTGTGTGCGGGAAAAAAAAGAAAAAAAAAGAAAAAAGAAAAGAAAAAGAAAAAAAAAGAAAAAGACCAAAAAAAGGGATTCACTGGCCAGAAAATGTCACTCCAAATAGCTGTATGGTGTAGACCAGGCTGAATGGTGACGGTCAATTCTTCAGCCTTGCAAGCTGTTGAATGGTGTAATCCCAGCACAAGTTGCTATGGCTTCTGCCGTAGCATTGCTATCATCGCCTCCGGCGATGGGCGTCAAAGGTCAAAAGGTCAAGGTGTGTGTGTGTGTGTGTGTGGTGTATTTATGTGTGTTGCTCCCTACGTAGCCGGACAAACTCTTGTTTTTGTGTCCCGGGCGCCATGGGGCGGCGTTCTCCCATTCTCTCTCCACCGCTCCTCCGGGCCCACGTGGCTGTGACTCGACAGGGCAGGGCAAGTGTGTGTATGGCGCATGGTGTGTGCTGGCATGTCTGTATAAATATGTTGGACAGGAATTTGTTCACCCACAACGTTGACGGAAAACCATGCTAGGTGTTGCTGGAATGTATGGAGTCTGCGAGCACTTACAATAACTTACGTCATGTCACAACAAAGAACGGTGCAGTGTTTGATCCTCATGTAAACATGATGGTGATGGTACCTCACCTAAGCTACCCATGAAGCTAGAAAGAACATCAGGTCAACAGAATTGTACCAGAGGAAAGCATCTATTGCCCGAACTTCTTCATATGAAATGAACAATACCCTTCTCCATAGAGACAACATGCAGATGAAGTGTATGGACAAATAATTATAAATAGGCCATTCACTGAGGGCATGGAATGATCTCTACGTGTAGATTGGATAGACACATGCACGTCTGCAAGGAAAGCATTTGTTCATGGGTTAGTTCATGGGCTGATTGAGTTCACATGGACTAAGTAGTTCATATAATGCCATCTCTCCTGAGCAGCAAAATTTCAAAACATACGACATTATTTCGTTCGCTAATCTCCGCTACTCGTCGTCTCACCTGGCTTCAGAAGATGTTACGAGAGATAGGAGAGTCTCCAGCAGGCAGCGCATCCATCTTCAGGAAGTGGAAAGAGCAAACGGCATGGTCCTTGGTTGAGGTAAATGCTGAACGTTTGATTTGTCCCAACCAAGATTTCAGCACTTGGTTCGTCACGATTTTCGCTTGCCAGCTAACGTCTCCGCACTCCAGCTTTCCCCTGTCGGTGTCACGTCCCAGTACACAACGGATAGGACTACTAATAAACAGTTCACGGCACTAACAGCATTGAACACAGTACTTCTTTCACTTCGTGAATACAAGAAGACAACTGAAAATGACACAATTCTGCAGTGATCGACCTTCTCTCTCACGGAGCTAAGCAGAATGTGCGTCATCACCTGTAGTCGCCATGGAAACGGGATCAAGAAATCGGCGATATGGCAAGTTTCCCTTGCCGTACGCAAGCGAGAGATATACCATCGGAACCGATATCCAATTGTCTTTCATCTGAGCCCTACTTGAAAAATCGATGCACTTCCCCTTTAAACCTATTTACGGGCAGATGCAGAACCAGGTCGATCGACCTGTCCCGGACTGCCCGGATAAGAGTCGAGATAATTATGAATATGAGTGTTGTTGTTGTTGTTTATTTTACTTCACCAAATGAACAGGCAGAGATGCCTTCTCACCTGCCCATAGGACAGGTTCTCACAGAATGATGAAGGGATGATATGCAAGGGAAAACAAGAAATGATAGTGTGTCTTGTAGATCTGCACTATACTACCGGTAGTCTGTAGTGCACTCAGAGTCTCACACTCAGCAACAGTCGAGTCCTGTAGAAAGTCATGTTGTTGATCAAGAACTGAAGAAGTTTATACATAATGATAATCATTGTAGATCTAGACTACCAGATGTACAGTCAACTTCGCTTATAACGACACTCATACAGTGGGATGGGACTTTGCTCTGGGTATGGAAATTCTGTCGTTATTCGCGAATTGTCGTTATATCCGCAGTCGTTATTAGCGAAGTTGACTGTACATGTATACAGTACACTGGTGAGTCGTAAAATACCGGTATTAAAATTTTTACGACTCCCTGATCTACACAACAACGTAACATACAGTCAGGTCATACAGGTGTGTGTCATGATGCAGCAGTGGAGTTCTGCATGTTTGCATGTTTGTGTAGCCTCGGAGCTGTTGGCCAGCTTTCCGCACGAGAGGTCGCTTTCCGTGTCGATTTTGACCAAGGAAGAAACTCTCCGGCGCTGAGCAAACTCTTCTAGCTCGGTTTGCATGTAGGTCGCTGCGTGCCAGATAAGGTGTTGAGTCTGCTCCGTCTGTGAATCGCAAACCTTGTTTTTCTGGCCCCCAACCGGGACCAACTGAACGCCCCCTACGGAAGAGCGCGAGAAGCCGAATCAGAAACGACGGAAATTGCCCCCAAAGGGTGCGCCGCGAGCACTGTCACAGGTTCCGCAATTCCGTGGCTTTTCTCCGGCAAGGCGAGCGTCGCACCCAAGCCAAGGTGAGGTGCTCTGTTTGGTTGAACACTGACATGACATGCCGATAGTTGAGACTGTTTGCGAGGATTTCGATCGCAAATTTCAACTCCTTCGTGGGCACTCCGCGAAACTCCGCGGGAGCATCTGCGGTGGCTGACTGGACCAATCTGACACCACTGGCCGTAGACCTAGGCGAAGTGGAACATGCATGTTGGACTTCCCTCTAAATCAGAGCGAGGAGTGCTCTTGGTGGCTCAGCTGCATATCAATGCGGCACAGCAGGCCCGCGATAAGCTAGGTAGTTTGCCATTTTTTTACCTTCAAGGACCATCGCAAAAGTTCGCAGAAGCCTACGAAGTTCTTTTTTTTCGGGGTGATGGTGGTGTGTGGAGGGAGGGAGGGAGGGGGGGGGGGAGGGGAGTAGGGGGTAGGAGTGTTCAGAAGGTGCCCTTGTTCTTGTTACCCCAACCTGGGGGAGGGGGGGGGGGAGTGTCCAGAACCTGCTCTGAACACTACACAGTCAGTGCAGACCAATCTGGCCAACTCCTCTTGTCCTAATCAATCCTATTGATTTTTGTATTATTTTGTTTTTGTACTTGTACAGCAGCAAGAGTAACAGCAGCAACGGAATGAGAAGCCACAGCAACAGCAGCGGAGACAGCAGGGATAGCCATGAACGCACTCGCATGGGTAGCAGACCACTGCGGGGAGCGCTGAGCGTGGCAGTATGGATGTTACCTCTAGTGCAGGTCCTGTCGGTGTACACAAGGTGCATGGGAGCGATGGGGATCACGAGGATCCAACGCATTCCACAGGGATGGTACTTCCCCGACTACAACATATCAGTGGACGACTTTGACACGGTGCAGGTTGTGGCAGCAGCAGCGGAGGTACGTATTTGACGATTTGTATTTTAAATATTATTTTTTACGATTTGTATTTATTATTTTTAAAATTTTTGAAGTCCAGTATAGTACTGCCGGGCACCAAAGAACTGGGGGGGGGGGAAGGGGGGGGGGGAGGGGAGGGCGGGGGAGGGGGGTTCTCGCCTAGCCCGTTCTTATTTTTTTTAACGAACATAGCAGTTTCGTTCCTATTCGATGGTACAGTCTTACATGTACATCTTTGCAGAGTTATACGTCTGAGTGTGCAATATAACGTGCAATACAGTTTCCATTTTTATCTTGCAAAGTATCCTGCCTAAGGAAAAAAAATTGTAACTTGGAAATTGTGGGCACAAGTTATGCAATCGAGTCCACCAACTAAACCAGATTTTGAACAGTCAGACGTGCACAATCTAGAAGCCTTGGAATGTACAGTCCATTCATAAAAAGATGGGCCCTGGCTCTGGCGAGCTCCCGTATTTGGCGATTTTTCGTGATTTCATCGTACACAGTGCAGTGCTGCGAACTTTGAAATTTGAAAAAGGGTCCAAAAAGGGTACCTGAACTGGGGTTCGAACCGCAGAATGCACTGTTGCGGGCGGGGTCAAACGGCCTGGATTTTGATGGTTTTCCCAATTCTGTGCGTTTGGGGCAAAACCTGGCCGAAATGCTATTCTTGCTATGGCTTGCTTTTTGGACAAAAAATCCTTCAGAAACATAATTAGAAGAGGATTCCATAGGGGATTGCCAAAAAATTCTAAAAAAACTCAAAATTTGACCCATTTATGGCCAAAAGCTAGAAGTCCATCTTTTTCTGAATGGACTGTAGCTCGTGCTCGGCTCGATGGCGCTAGCCTTCCCCTCTTTGGAATTAGCACTAATATCCATGAGCCTTCCAAGTTGGAAGGCCGTTGGTTAGCGCTATCGGGCAGTGCTCAAGCTGACTTTCACGCCGTGGAACGTCTCAGTACTCCTTGTCAGTGTTTGTGCTAGATTGTGCACATCTGACTGTTCAAAATCTGGTTTGCTTGGTGGACTCGATGGCATAACCTGTGCCCACAATCCAGCCTAAGCCGTTCTTATTAAAACTTGGTGAAATTCTAGCCTGGCTGTTCTTCGGCGCCCGATAGTACTGTAGTTTCTTGCCTGGAGCGAGTGACAAATTCTCGACGCTAAAACAGGGTTTGTCAGTTCATCCGACACCACCACCACCGTGCACAAGTGAGACACAGGACCGGCGGAAGCAGTTATTGATTGCTCCGGCCATACCCTAGCCGTTCATACAGTTTGTGTATGATACGTATGGAGGGTATACACATGACCTCCTCACCAGTAACACACATGTTGGTGGCCAAAAAGTTGGTCCGGCCATGGCCGGACCAACCGGACCGGTTCCGCCGGGCCTGAGACACACACTTGCTGTACTAGTATCTCCGTGACTTTCTCATAAATTCAGCCAATCCATGATCTTGCAGAACATACAGTTGGTTTTGATACAGCATAGGAAACTCATTTGTCTCGGGCTGCATTGCAATAGTGCATTTTAAACCTGTGGACTTATTCCTGCCTCCGTCCCTCCCGCCCTCATGCTCTCCCTCCGCCCATCTCTCTCTCTCTCCCTTTGTCCCTCTCCCAGTGCTGCCAAATAATTTTCGCCCAAAATCGGACACCCTTCACCGCCAGCGCTGGCCACATGGTGCGAATTTTTCTCCTCAGCAATTTTTTTACAGAGAATTCAAAATATCGCCTAAAACACCATGAAAATTCGCTTCGTTGCCATGGTAACCCCGGAGTTGTCATGAATTTTGTAATGATGAGTGTGGTCGCACACTGACTCTGTACAGACTGTCAGTGTACATGCCATCCAGCCTGATCTAGGCATGTTACTTTGCACTTCCACAGCCAAGCGCTAGCCTTTTTAGAAGCAAATGTACAGTGATTTATGCCTTCAGTTGCGCTGAAAAGTGAAAGTACAGGACTTCTGCATAGGAAAGTAATGATCTCCGACATTTTGGCTGCTTTTCGGACGTTGCCCTTTTCGGACCGGATTTCGGAAAAGAGCCTTCGAAAATCGGACACTGTCCGAAAAATCGGACGGTTTGGCAGCACTGCTCTCCCCCCCCCCCCCCCTCAGGGAGAGAGAGAGAGAGAGAGTGTGTGTGTGTGTGGCCCTGGGGGGGGGGGGGGGGAATGGCGAGCTGAATGCGAGTCGCGTTCCACCTGGCGCTCGGCGTACTCAGCACCGGTAGATGCCCAGCATCCCCCCCCCCCCTCCCGTCACCTGCTACACCTGCGACCGACAGTTTGCACGCCCCAGTGATCTTGCACGCCACAAGTGTAAGGTTGAGCATGCGAAGCCGGTTGCGGAGCAGAAAGGTGCATGCCAGTGTGGAGAGTGTGGCCGTTGGCTGAAGTCCCGTGGAGGTCTGGCAAGGCACAAGTGTACTTACCCCCAGTCAGCAGTCGGTGCGCCCCTGCCGCTGCCTGCTTCTCCGCTGTGCTGCGTCGCTCACTGCCAGGCTTGTGACCGCTGCTTTGCGTCTACACGTGGCCGCGCCCGTCATCGCTGCTCACGAACTTGTAGTCGTCCGACCGTTCAGGACCGTCAGGGTTTCACATGTGTTTGCGCCTGCTCCCGCCGATTTCGCTTACCGCATCACCTGGATCGTCACAGGGTTGTGTGCTCCTCCTCCTCTCTCTCAGCTGCCCCTCCGGGGCCCACGTAACCTTCATGGCAGTGGCTCAACAGGACAGGACAGGTGTGTGTGTATGTGTGTGTTGTAGTCATACATGTATGTCTAACATTACTTCTCCATCACTGCATCAGCTCAACCGCGACCACTGGACTGCCTTTTTACACATTTTATTGACGAATAAACAAGAACACGGAAAACGACTACATCTTGACAAGACGACAGACCATAGACTAGCTCACACAGTTTAGCGCATGCGCACAATACCACCAACCAATGACGCATGTGCACAGCGACCAAGACGAAACAAACACGTGACACAAAATCTACCACAATATCCCGACCAAAAAAGAACACATACCGTCCTCGGTATGACCAAATAAAACACAATACGCAGAGAGACGCAACCCGCAAAGAGCAAAGTAGCCACAGGACCAACGCATGTAGCTCCCCAGAAAAAACAGGGCAACCAAAGCCAGAAGAAAGAAAGAGAGGTGAATGTTTAAGAGAAGAGAAGAAACACTGCATTGCTGTCTAGCCACGCACACACAAAAAAAACACAGGCTAAACCTAAGCCTAAAAACCGATGAGCCCTGCCCATCCACACAGCGCCAGCCAAACCCATGACTGTCACCGAAAAAACAAAAATAAATAAAATATATACATGGCAACGACAAACAAGCAGCGAGTCTAGCTCCCAGCAATGAACCGGGGCTCACCCTGATCGGACGTTCTTTGCCTTCGATGTGGACTGCCACAAGGAGAACCAACCGTGGTTCACCATGATCGGACGCCAGTTCCCAAGACAAGTAACAACTCAAACAAACTCCCGCATGCACGCACGCATGCACACACACAAACACTCATCGGAAAACAAAGAAAAGAAGAGATATATGGAGGGAAGAAAGGCGGCGCATTCCCAGCCAGCACACGACTTCGGAGCAGCAGGAAGCGGACGGCGAAGCTGATACTCTACCCGTATCAGGACAACGAAACGGCGGACGCACAGCGACACTTAAACACAGCTCAGCGGAGGGCGTCAGCTTGATCGAATTGAGTAGACGACAACGGGGCACCGGACGACGGCACAGTTGCCTCAAGCGGAAGCGGATGACGACATTGCGCGACGACACCGCACGACGACACAGCTCCACGACGAATGTTGGAACACGAACAGGGGTGACGAATAAACAAGGACAGTCCAGCAGTGACGGGAGCAACACACATCTCAGGGTCGTGAGCTGCGCAGGCAGAACTCCGCGTCGAGAGATAGTTGGGCGCCAAATGTTGTAGTCGTATATCTTACATTGCGTGTGAAAGAAAGAAAGAAAGAGAGAGGGAGAGAGAAAGCGTGTGTGAAAGAAAGAGAGAGATCAGTGGGTCCTGGTTTCAGTTTCATAATAATATAATATTTATGCGTTTGTACTCTCCTTCTTCTTGTTCAACTTCATATAGACCACTCTGAACATTACTATTGTCCAAACAAAGACGCTGGAAACGGAAACTCTTACAACCGACGAACAACCATATTACCGTGCATTTGATCCTACTGTAGTTTCAGAGTCGTTCATACTGGGTCGAGATCAATCACACCATGCAAGATGTAAGATCTCCAGTGTGTGTGTGTGTGTGTGTGTGTGTGTGTGTGTGTGTGTGTGTGTGTGTGTGTGTGTGTGTGTGTGTGTGTGTGTGTGTATGTATGTGTGTGTGTGTGTGTGTGTGTGTGTGTGTGTGTGTGTGTGTGTGCGCGTGCGAGTGCGCACTTGTGTGTGTGTGTGTGTGTGTGTGTGTTTGTGTGTGTGTGTGTGTGTGTGTGTTTGTGTGTGTGTGTGTGCGTGCGTGCGTGCGTGCGTGCGTGCGTGCGTGCGTGCGTGTGTGTGTGTGTGCAAGTACTTCCTCCGTTAACAAAAACTTCGTGATGGATTTTTGAGGTTCTGGTTTGCGCACAAACTACCGTGAAATGAGTCGCGATCACTTTCTCGGCCTTCCTTGGCATGCCATGAAAGAAGTACGATGCAAGGAAAGCGACCTTTCACAACAAGCCGAGCGGAATCGATGGTTGCGCTCTGGCAACATAGGTAATGACAGTCATGGCGAGCGAAACTGAAATACCACTTCCCCGAGGGGATAATGCGCTGCTTGGCCTCTCTACTACTGTAGCACTGAGTTTGAGAGTGCTAGAGAGCGATGGAACGGAGCAGCGAGCCCACACAATGAGCGAGTGAACAAGGAGCTGCGCCGATCGCACAGCTCAATGAAATGGTTCTGAATTCAAGTAAGGTAGTTCTTGTTCAACCTGCGCAAAGCCCAGATTCGAATGCTGATGACCATGCGTTCTTTCAGAAGTCTGCAGTCCGACGCGAGTCTCGTGGCTAAGGAAAGTCGACTGGACTTGCTAGCAGCTGCCGTTCAGTGCTGGCAGGAGTATCCATCAGAGAAAATGGAATCAGTTTGGCCGTACCTTTACTCCTCGTTTCGCGGAGTTCTGGAGCGCGGACATGAAACCAGGGAGTCGTAAAATATTTTTACTCCTCCCTGGTGGAAGCGAGTAATCGGCACAGCGGCGGATCACGCAGCTTGAAAGCCAACTGCTTACATGTACTTGAACGATGGCGACATCAAGTTGAGCGGTGTGTGATCAAAGAAGCCGAGGCAAGGCTGAAAGGAGCTGAACAACGACTCGAGAGAGATGACGACTCGCGCACTGCAGATTACGACAAGCGACGCAGGGTCAAAAATGAGTCGAGCCAAAGCGACGCCAACTGAACTCTCTGTTTATGTGTGCATGTGTGTATGTGCATGTGAGTGTGTGCGTGTGCGTGTCTGAGCATGTGCGCGCAAAATGCCCCACTTTTGTCAATGCGTAGATGTATCACACCATACTATGCTAGCTTCCTGGAAATACTGTTCCGGGCAACACTATTTCCGTTGATCCACTTGTTACTGTAAAACCGGAAAGTCTAAAAACGTTATCGCTACAGTCCATTCATCGGAAACTGGCAACCTAACTATTCGTGTTTCTCTCACATAGTTGTAGATATCGTGAAAACAACAGTACATCCTGCGTTGCGTGACCCGTGCAATTACTCCTTGCCACATTTGAGGCCAGAAAAGTCCAAGAACAGAGAAATAGAAATTCAACCAGGTTTTACAAAATTTGGACAGGTATGCCATGGCAAAATGTATCGAGAAGCAGATCCTAAACCCAGATTTGTGAGATTTAAAGTGGGTTTTTGATCCTCAATTCGGCCCAAATCCGACTTTCAATAGCCAGCGGGACAGTTTCCGATGAATGGAGGACTGTAGATCTCTGTGTAAAGATGCGCATACAGACGGGTGGTCAGGTAGCCATCGTTAAACTTTCTGCACTTAATCATGCCAAAATTACAGAACGTTAAACTTTCTGGTCGTCAGACTTTCCGGTTTTACAGTATGCGGTTATCCTTGATGTTGTCTCGCGTTGTCATACCCTTGAATCAACATGCACACATATCAGTGGAGTTTGAATATAGCCACACTGGTTTGGGAGTTGTTTGGGCGGGTGGGTGTGAGCGTGTGTGCATCTGTGGCTGCGCGTGGGTTTGCATTTGTGTGTGTGTGTGTGTGTGTGTGTGTGTGTCGGTGTGTGTGTGTGTGTGTGTGTGTGTGTGTGTGTGTGTGTGTGTGTCGGTGTGTGTGTGTGTGTGTGTGTGCGTGCGTGCGTGTGTGTGTGTATTTGTCTCTCCGTGCAAATGTGTATGCGTGTGTCAATCACAGCTTTGCAATTGGATACGTTATGTCCTGAAACCTTGGAGACAACGGGAATGTTTCTGGTCGCTACTATCAACGTCACCTGCCAACGTGTACTTTCAAGCGAGGTTAATGTTACCACGGTAACAATCCCAGCAGGCACAGCTGTGCCAGTGGAGAGTGCGGAGACAGACGTCTTGAGTGGCCGGCAACCGTGCGTTCCACGAGTGTTTCAGCTGACCAGACACTGCCCTGGCTACACATCTGCTGACGACCCTGCCACCAGTGCTGCAGCAGGCTATTCAAGCGGCAATGTTGCGGGGATGACTGGTGAGAACACTGCTGCCATGTTTCTCTCATGCTTTATTCCCAACAACAACAACAACCTCAAATCTCTGTAAGGGGTCGTCGCAAAAGTTGCTAAAAATACAAGTCGACTGACACTGTACATTATGTACATGTATATGCATGCGATTTTGTCACCGAACTGAGCGCCGAAGAATGACCAGGCTAGAATTTCACCAAGCACAGCATACCAATGAATACACGGTGACTCAACTGTGCATAGGCTGTCATACATAAGAAATATGAATGGTCTAGGCTAGGAGACTGACGCCCTGTTCTTCGGCGACAGACAGTACTGTATCCAACCAACAAGTCATGACAGCCATCTGGCCCACGACAGTATGATTGCACGTGGTTTACATCAGGCCCTGCACGATATGGTTCTGTGTGATATGTAAGAATATTCGTCCGAAGACGATCGACCCACGACCATAGAAGACTGTATTAGAATATTATCCATATAAAAATCGCTCTGTGAGCGGTTCTGAAAAACCTTTACTGGTACTGCCCCGTCGTAAAAGTAAGAAATTAGAACTGGCCCATTGTCCCCCCAAATGCGAACTGATCCACCTAAATCGCGAATGACGGGACCCGAACGCACCAGTAGCACGAGGTCGGGAGGGCACAGGATCACGGCAATTATCATATAATAGGGTAACACCAGTAGTAGCAGTAGAATTTATTATTTTGATAGGGAAGCCTACCGCTAGTACAGTACATGGCCTATGGTCCGGACCAACGTCCCCATCTGCATCCACAGGTAGGAACCTCGTGCTACTGGTGCGTTCGGGTCCCGTCATTCGCGATTTAGGTGGATCAGTTCGCATTTGGGGGGACAATGGGCCAGTTCTAATTTCTTACTTTTACGACGGGGCAGTACCAGTAAAGGTTTTTCAGAACCGCTCACAGAGCGATTTTTAGATGGATAATTTCAGCTCTTTTTCCGTTCCCTCCCCACCCCAACCCCGAAGGTAAACATGATGACCACACGCGCGATGTACTGTATGTAGCCATGCGACTGCAATAACACACTGATACATACCAGCCCTCCCCGCCTCGCTACCCCGCACACAGATACACAAACATGTGTATCCACACGGCACACACACGTGGCCACGCACACATACGCACATGCACACGACACAAACAGGAAATTCTTCATGTATAATGCCATGCAAAGCAGTGGCCACCGTACTTGAGGAAGTCAGTTGTGAAACAAAAATAATTCAACTACAGCGTGTAGACAAGCTGACGGCCAAAGCACAACATAGCAAACATGACATTTGCCCAATGATTGCAGTTTGCAGACCATGCCATGGAAGCAGCGAATACAGAATGTAATATCATACAAAGTGACAAGCAAGGACGTGGCCATCATACACCAGAAACTTGCAGAAAGTCACATATCCAACAGATAGAGAAGTGAACAGCAATCTGATACAGCCCACACAGGACAAAGCGGACCTGATACTCGTCCCAGGATCGCAAGTGGCAAACCCTTTTCAATGCATAACATGCAGGTGTACGTTAGACGCATGAACATCTGACCGTGTCGCCAGCATACAATGTCATCACATGTTTACCCCACAAGTTACACACATGCACAGTAGAAGCACAATGAAAGCAATGGAAAAGTACGATGTGGTTGCTGAAGCATCTTCACACTTCAAATTCAGACTTCAATGTGGTCGTCACGGGATGATATACCTGCAAGATACAAGTGATGAAGAAAGAAAGCAGAAGGTCGTGAGGTAGGCTATGAGACACCACAAACGGTTCACCTACATGTCTGTTCAGGGCTAGTGCACTCACACGGAGAATTGTCATAATCGAGCATTTCCCAAACTGAGAAGTGCAATGAAATCCACTTGCATGCACAGGAGCAATTTTGCAATATTAAGATGCGCAATTCGACACGATCTGCGATGCTGCGTGCGATGTGCCCTGCTGTCATGATAGTGACAGTCACCGCAGTATGTTTTGTCAACGTCGCCCGTGCACTCTTCTGTCAAGTCCAAAGTGCTCACATACTTAGCAATGTTTTTGCAGTGATTAACTTTTATCCTAGTTATGTCACGGGTAACTTTAATGAAGTACCCGCAGGCCGTGTCGATCTGCACATCGTCCACTCTCTCATGTACTTGGCCTGCTTTGTCTGTGTATCCATTTCATGTGCGATCCACAAAATCGACTAGACAGTGGGTGCAATACGCGCTCTACCTGAAGACGTTCTTCTGGCGACATCTCGCCATGTACTTGGCCTGGCTTTGTCTGTGTATCCATTTCATGTTCGATCAACAAAATCTCAATGCACTACAGAGACTAGACAGTGGGTGCAATACGCTCTCTATCTGAAGACGTGAACCATTAAATTTTTTGGAAAAGTTATACGCTCACCTGAAACGTAATGAAGTACAGGAATAGAGAGAGTGACTACAATGCGCTCTCGACCTGCTATATTGATAACGTGAGTACAAGACACTCTCCACCTGATAACGTGTTAGAAGGTAACATGTCTACAGTCCCACCGTACCCTTCCGACACGACTGTAGACCATTACAATTTTTTGAGAAGTTATACGTACACCTTAAACGTAATGAAGTACAGGAATAGAGAGAGTGACTACAATACGCTCTCGACCTGATAACGTGAGTACAAGACACTCTCCACCTGATAACGTGTTAGGCTGTGTTTACATGAGAAATTTCAACCCGGGTCGAGTTCAGCCCGGGTTGAAAGTCTGTACGATAGACAAAAGAGGTGAGTGTTTACATGAAGACAGTTGACCCGGGTCAAATACTGATATGCCGCCAAAAGTCCACTTCTACAGTCCTGTATGGTCGCGTGAATCCGTTCGCGCGAAATTTGCATCTGCAGTGCCGTTCAAACCTGGCGCGAGATACGCACAGAAGTACGTTTGTACGATTTTCTTGACCCGGGTTGATTTCAACCCTCCCCTTGGGAGGGAGGGTTGAAATCAACCCGGGGCGAAATTTCAACCCGGGTCAAGCGCAATGCGTCATGTAAACGCGCCATTCATTTTGTGCACATGGCGGGTTGAAATCTGACCCGGGTCGAACTCAACCCGGGTTGAAACGCTTCATGTAAACACAGCCTTAGTAGAAGGTAACAGGTCTACAGTCCCACCGTACCCTTCATCATTCCTCATTCACCATCGCGCGATACCCTGGCACACAGTGGCAACATATCAATGGGGTGCCTTACCGTCGTCTAGAGGAGACGTCTTCGCAGCAATATTTTCCCTCCTGCGCATTCAGTCGCCGACGCGACAGCGTTCACGGGGCCGTTCCAGTTGCGGAAGACATTCGATTCATCGGGCCAATTCAGCAACAGGGCCGTGGACACACAGGGGGCAGAGGAGAGACATTGTTAGTGGACAAGAAATATGCAGTGGCAAGTGGCGAGTGCCGCATGGATGTCAAGTTGTCATGCACAATTCAGCTATTACTTACGGTCCAGCTAGTCCTGCCATTGCTCGCTCGTCCTGGTTCCTCCTCGTTCGTCTTCCTGCACGTCTGCAATTCTCCTTCCCCACCGTTGGCTTTGCGGTACGGCGGTGCCGGAAGGAATTCCCACATGTACATGAAGTCCCACCATGACACTCCATGTACATGTCCACGGCCACGTCAGCAGTTTTATAGTACCGGAAGGAGTTCCCACGATGTCTCCAAAGGCCTAGAGCGGACGTCTTTGCAGCAATTCTTTTCGCCCTGCGCATTCAGTTCGCCATGTCTCCAAAGGCAAAGGCCTAGAGCCTAGTAGAGGGGACGTCTTTGCAGCAATTCTTTTCACCCTAGTACCCTGCACATTCACTCCGCCGACACGACAGCGTTTACGGGGCCGTTCCAGGTGCAAAAGGTCCACGTCAGCAGTTCTCAACTATTTCGCGTACGGGATAGTCGCCGCGACAGCGTTTAAGGGGTCGTTCCAGGTGCAAAAGGTATCCATCAATGGCACTTTGCAGTATGGGGTACGGAAAAGGGGCCTCCTCGTTCGACTTCGTCGACTTCTGCAGTTCTCCTTCCCGTCAGGGGTACCGAAAGGGGCCTCCTCGCAGTTGTCCTTGCCGTCAGGTCCACGTCATGCAATTCTCAACTATTTCGCGTACGGGATAGTCGTCTTTGTCGTACGCGACATCGGCGTTTACCGAGTGGCATTGGCACAAAGCAGACCGTTGACGGCGTCACGTGTCAAAAAAGTATCAACAACGTGTCGACTACGTGTCGACCACGTGTATAGCGGTACACTCAGCGGTACACTAATTCTCGTGCCATTCTCGTGTCACAAAACTGGAACATCGAGTACCAGTATGGAAAGGCTTCAGACAGGAAGCCTTTCCAATAATTTATTACTACGACATTGTCACAATGTGGTGACAGGAAACGTAACAACTGGACTTCCCAGTCAAAGGAAAAGAACAACGCCAAACCGTTTGGCTGCATCCACAAAGGGATAAAAGACGCGCAAAAATGAATGCTCAAAAAGACGCAAACAATCACAATCTGGAGTGGAATAATTACAACTCGTCACATATCTGACAGGTTCGTTAGAAACGAAAACTGTTCGCTATAAAGGGTCAGTTTTGAAGCAGTGATGCATTGGAGCAACAATTATAGACACGCTCACTTTAATTATATATATATATATATATGTGTGTGTGTGTGTGTGTGTGTGTGTGTGTGTGTGTGTGTGTGTATGTGTATGTGTGTGTGTGTGTGTGTGTGTGTGTGTGTGTGCGTGCATGCGCGCATGCGTGTATCCACGACAATTGCAGATAGCGTTATCATCGCTATAATCGTAGTGAGTTTTCTGACATTGATCGGACTTGGAGTGCTAATGTTAGCCTGTACGCGGTATCGTACTGCTGGTGCCCTATTACGCAATGCCTGTCCTCAACACCAGATGTCAGTACTCTAGTGAGTTTCTATACTGCGCAACACTGCCATGTAGGCCTGGTTTGGGCGTTGTGAATGTGTACATGTGTGTGCGTGTGTGTGTGTGTGCGTCTGTGTGTGTGCGCGTCTGTGTGTTTCTGTGTTTCTGTGTCTGTGCGTATCTGTGTGTGTGTGTATTTTTATGTTAAAGGGGAAGTTAAGGCAAAAATTAAAATTTCACCAGTTGTAGTCTTCGGGGTGCTGAGTCGAATGGTCGTGGTCCGAGGAAGCTGAGACGCTCCCTTCCTACTTGAATCCCAATCGAACTCGCGCACTTCCACCGAAACTAGGTGACTGCGCCCTACTAGATGGGGATTTGTATGCAAAATGTCACTAAAATCGCCATTTCGTTCTTATAAAAGCACGGATGACCGCGATTGGTGTAATGTTCTCCCGACGTCCTTAGTACGTGTCGAGAGCACACCAAAATACCAAGTCAACACGGTCTCGTTGTGAGGCAAAGAACCCTTTTCATTCTCAGTGCAAGAACACAAATAGTCGTGAAAGACACATCATACAGCAAGACAGTCGCGGGTACTCCATATCTGGATCTAGTAGAGTACTAGAGGGTACACTACGGTGCATGAGACATCTATAAAGAGAAGAGTACAAATAAGAGAAACGAGCATGCACAATGGGTACACACACACATACAAGATAACACTACAATTGGCCCATATGTTGTAGTCTTTAGGACGCTGGATCGACTGGTTTTGGTCCGAAAAGGCTGCGATGCAGCGTTCCTCCTATATTCCCAATCGAACATGGTTGAACAAGCGGTCACGTGCTCCTGCGTACGCCAGTCACCTGGTCACCGTGCCTGCAGGGTACAACTTACTAGCCTGTTTGACCTTTTTTGGGTGCAGTCCTGTCACTCGAGTTGAACTCGAGTTGAACCTTGGTGTGAAAGTTGTCGCCTGCTGGCGTGGTGACCAGGTGATTTGGGCACCCAGGAGCACGTGACCGCTTCTTCAACCATGTTCGATTGGGAATAAAGGAGGAACGCTGCATCGCAGCCTTTTCGGACCAAAACCAGTCGACTCAGCGTCCAAAAGACTACAACATATGGGCCAATCGCGGTCATCCGTGCCTTTATAAGAACGAAATGGCGCTTTTAGTGACATTTTGCATACAAATCCCCATCTAGTAGGGCGCAGTCACCGAGTTTCGGTGGAAGTGCGCGAGTTCGATTGGGATTCAAGTAGGAAGGGAGCGTTTCAGCTTTCTCGGACCAAGACCATTCGACTCAGCACCCCGAAGACTACAACTGGTGAAATTTTCATTTTTGCCTTAACTTCCCCTTTAACCCTTTGAGACCCCAACGATCGAATTCGATCGTTTGGTATACAGTGACACTAAAATAATTATATCTCTGGTGTTCCTTCACCGATTTTCATAAACAAAGTATCTACGTTTCGAGAAGACCCTTGGCTATCACGTCGAAGTTATCCGAAGTCTTTAGGAGTTACAAGGCCGCCGTGGTGAGACTCGAAGTCAGAGACAAACTGAAAAATGCACACAGATCGAAAAATTCAAATTTTCACGCTGCACTTGGCAGGAGATTTCCACGGAATGGTACGTCATACTCAAGCATGCTGCACGCCAAAATTGTGCGCTTGAAACGAGCTTTCCGCTGTAGTTTGTTTGAAGTCGATGCGACGAAGGAGAATGGAATGGCGGCTGTTTGAACTTTGCTGAAGCTGTTCGCGCACGGCTGCTGTTTTGGGCGGCATTATAGGCCACGCAGAGCAGAGGCTGTGCAGGTAGTTGGCTTGAGTGTGGTACTAGTCTCTTCGTCTTGGAAATACCTTTCCAACGGTGGTTAGTTTGTAAAAATCGGTGAATGTTTCATAGAGATATGAGCGAAAGTGCATGTTATTAGAAGGTGCGTAAATTGTCGTACTTTCAGTGGGGTCTCAAAGGGTTAAAGAAAGGAGCATTACTGGTGTGTACTCTCATAATCACCATACCTGTATTGCAGCATGCAATCCTAGTGTCGCATCCCCGGCTCACAGTGACCGGACCCCGAAATCACTACGAGCGGCGACTGAATATAGACGCGTGGCCTCACGACAGGCCCAACACAACCCAGGGGCCAACCAATATAGCTGGCTTGGTCCAAGTTCAACCCCACACGATCAACAGACAAAGACTGTTAGTTTTACGTTGTGAGTAGTATCAAATCCGAGCTCAAAGTAAACGAAGACAGAGAGCTGAGACCGAGTCTCGACTGCTAGACTAGACTAGAGTAGACTAGACTACAGTCCGTTTCAAAAAGATTTGCAATCCTGGCGATCGCCCGCGGAGTTTGGCGTCTTACCGTATGAGGACTCGAGCGCTGCCTGGAAAAACTCACTGTGAACTCGAAGAAATATTCCGCGCGAAAGCAGGAAAAATGACAACTTACTCACGTTGATACAGTCATGTACGTCTGGTTTACAACAAACGAGTTCTTCCTCTCAATAATGGAGTCAGAGAGGACATGTCGAAACGAAAGTGTTGTAAATGTTGACGAGCGGCATGGGTTCCAATTCGTTTTGTGACCAAAATAGTTTCTTTGAGCTGCGATGCAATTTACTCACCGTGTGGCGAAAACGACATCGACACGGACTCATTCCCAAGGCCATGACTTGGCAAAGCTAGCCGTGTGACTTCGACGACATTTTGAGAAAAGCAGACGCTTGTGAACACTGATATACATGATAGAAGACGGCGTTGCACGTTGACTGCTAAATTCAAATAAATAATTGCCGATCTTGAAATACTAGAATAAATCTCAAAAAGCTACGGCGCGATGACTTCCATATTCACTCACACCATTGCAGTGTTGTGGTTGTGTTCACATTGCGTGAGCCAGTCAAGTGTCAGTCAGTTCGGCAGGAAGCGCGAGCTCCAACAACAAGTCGTTTGGTGCAGCCATCTTCTTTGTCTTGTACCAGCTTGATCACCAAAACAATGAAAAAAAAGTTTGACTTGAGGATAGGTTGGGATTTGAACTCACAACTTCATGGTCAGCAGACAGCATTCATAACCACAAGGCCAAAAAGGAAAGGATAAATCGTGGGTTTTGATAAAAAATCGATACTGGCTTCCTGGGCAAATTGTAAACCATGGGAAAAGGCCGGAAACCTGGCCGAAATTCTAACTCCTTAACGGCTGCTCCAATTGTTCCGAAACCTTCACAGAACAATTTGCCGTGTCCTAACAAGCCATTCTATGTACTTTGTTGTCAAAATTTCCCTTGTCTTCATACTTTTTAAGACCCAAACCTGATTGTAAATCTTTTTGAAACAGACTATAGACTAAAACTGAAGTAAAAGAGAGAATGAGAGCTTCTTTTATAGGGTGCTTCAGAGATATATGACGTGATCATTGCGAGGTAATTCCAGGAAATAGCAGAAAAAGTCAAACCGGAATGTGCGCAGCCAGTCAGCAGAAATGCAGAGTATACGTACGGTGATCATTCGAGAAGAAAGAGAAAGAAAGACATCGAGAGAAGAAAGACCAAATTGGGACGTGGGGAGCCCACGCACCCACGTCAGAGTACAATGTGAGTATATGAGGGTCACGTTGGGGAGCCCGCTCACCCAACGTGCCATAGTTCAGCGGCTTCTTATGGTAAGTTCTGCTGCATTCTTGGTCTTGCTTGTTTGATACTCTGACCTCTCGTGCGGTCACTGCGGTGACGGTTTTGGTTCTTGCACACGTCTTGGCTCTGCACTCTTTGCACTTAGCTCGGTTGGTTAGTCTTGGCTCTTTGCACAAAGCACCGAGGCATCGTGGAAACCTGTAGAACGTCGTAGTGACGTGGTTTTGCACAAAGCCTGGAGTCACATTTCCAGGAAGTGAAGCACTTCCAGGAAACGTACAACGCGAGAACCTACCTGACCAGGTTCCGGCCTTGGATCACATGATGTGTCATGCCAAGAAGGCATGTCACCTACGTGGGAAAGCGCGTGTCGCTCAACCTACATGCTAAGCACGTGGGACAAGACACTGGCCAAACCACGTTGTTCTAAAATGGCGTGACAGCTCAGCACAGAGCTGCTCACTACGTAGATCCTGCTGTCACAGGACTATCAGGCAGCAGTTGTCTTATCCTGGGACATGACACTAGCACTCTCTTTGTTCATGTGTGTCTCAGGTCTCTATTATGAAACCTAGACATGAACGTCTGTGCATCCTCGTTTGTGTGTTTATATGTGTTTCGGGATGTGTGTGTCGGGATGTGTGTGTGTCAAGATGCGTGTGTCAAGATGCGTGTGTCAAGATGCGTGTGTGTGTGTGTGTATATCTGGATGTCTGTGTCTATCTGTGCATCTGTGTGTATGCGTGTCTGTTGTGTCAGTGTGTAACTGAGTCTAACATGTGCGCGTGTGTGTGTGTGTGTGTGTGTGTGTGTGTGTGTGTGTGTGTGTGTGTGTCTGTCTGTGTCTGTGTCACGGTGCGCCGATGTGCACCATGCTCCAGCACTCCCAGACCGCTTCCTCCGTCCAGCAACGCCGCACCGATCATCACGTCCCACAATCATCAGAGTTACTCCGCTTGCTATTACGGCTCTCACAGCGCGGAGGCAAAGAAACCTTTCCTGAAGCCAAGTGAGTGAAAAGACGTGGGTCGCGGTCAGTTTGACGCATCCTGTTTGCCATGTCTGCTTACTGAAGCAACCCAATCTGCTTTGCTACCTCTTGCTTGTCTCACTCCCTTTCCGTATGTTCGTGATGCAGCCTTCTGTAGCCCTATCACTCTCTCCATTTCCCCGATTTCAACCAGGTTGTGCCCCAAAAGCACTGAATTGGGAAGAACTATGAAAATCCCGGCCGTTTCACTTCACCTGCAACAGTACATTGTGCAGTTCGAACCCCAGTCGAGATATCCTTTTTGTACTCTTTTTCAAGTTTCGAATTTCGCGGGAGCTGCACCTTGTACGATAAAATCACGAAAAATCACCCGAATATGGGAGCTTGCCAGAACTAGTGCTCATCTTTCTGTAAACGGACTGTAGTACGTAGAGTGCCATGCAGTGCATAGTGACATTGGCATTACATCATCGTGACATCATCATCACCAGAACAGTGCAATCTGAAGACGCCCTGTGCAGGAATGCTTACCGTAGTCTGACTGCTCATTGAGTAGGCAGAACATGGATTGGTGGATGCCACCCAATGCCACCACTTGAAAAGGTTGAATTCGGATGGTGCTCTGGGACCTTTCCTAACCTGAGCCTTCCAAGTTGGAAGGTTGCTGGTTTGCGCCTCTGAGATGTGTTGGAGCTAGGAGGAGTCGGGTACCAACTGACAAATACTCTATTCAATTGCTACTCGCCTAATGCGATGAGTTACCATATTTTCCGGAGTACAAGCCGCACTCGAGTATAAGCCGCACCAAGATTCTTTTGCCACTAGATGCAGACATCGACCCCATTTACCAGCATCAATTTGACCATCGAAATATAAACCGCACCGACTTTGTTTGGGGGGAATTTCTGGTATTTAAAGTGCGACTCATACTCCGGAAAATACAGTACTCTAAAAAAAGAAGAGTTTATCATGTTTCCGGCCAGTCATTCATCTTCAGCGAGATTTCCAAGAGGCAACCAAAATTTGACCGAAATGGCTTTGTCAGGCTGTCCACTCTGTCCTTTACCTGTGACACGCCAAAGACAAAGTTAGACATGAGTCATGCAAGATGCTAGGCAAAGTAACGCAGCGTGAGTGGCGTGCAAAGTCAAGCCAGCGGGGCCAGGTATACAGATGCGCGTGAACGGCGTGCAAAGGTCGTGGGGAAGTATCTCGACACGTTGCGATTGGAGAACTGGAGGGGGCTGTGGAGCAGTGAGAAAATTCACAACACCATAGAAAACTGAAATAGCTGCTGGGAACATAGATGGGATAGAATGTCTGCTTCCCATTTCAAAGTGCCCCCCTTTCGAGCCCCCCTCCATTACCATACCGGTAAAAAAAGGAAACAGGAACTCGGAGCAGGGCATTAGTGGCTGTAGGATTCATGTCGAGAGGAGCAGGCCCCGTGCTGAACAAGGCACGGTACATCCTCTTACGTAGCTGTGGTACTGTGGTGTCCAACTGACAGCTCTTCCCCTTGCTCTTGGCGCTAAGAACTTTGCCAGGTTGCGCCCTGGTACATTGTCGCAATCTCCTGCAGTTGCCTGATTGACTGCATTGGCCGGGACCTGCCGGCATGAATTCACCCCGTGGCCAGACTCGCATCTCTAATGGTTTCTGCCAGACGTGCTAACCCCCACCTGAAACCACCTGTCAGCCACGTCACTGATGAGCTGCACAAGCTTGTTCCCGAGTGGCTCTCCGCTTCAACATGGTATGCGTACTGGAGCCGCGTGCAGCTCTACCAGCCCCTGTCCCGTAGCTATGCAAAAGACGCTACGTTAGTAATGTCTGCCATGGTCCACACCGATTTGAAAGGAACAGAAAAGAAGAAGAAGAAGAAGAAAGGAACAGAGCAGGCGCGGAGAATGCGGAGTATGGATAGAAGAACAGAACGGTAAGCAAAGACTCAAACAAAGAACAAAACGTACAAATTCAAATCTATAATTCGAAGCAGTAAATAGTCGTGCATTATGGTATCATACCCTTGTGGAGAAAGAGGCGAAGTATTCTACTTCACTTCTCCCCCTGACACCGTAGCCGGTTACACAATAGCCATACTCACACTCGGTAATGTGCTGTTGCCTAGAGCTGGCCGCGGGGTCGTAGCGCATACCCTCCAGCTGGAGCCATATCAATGGTGACACCAATACCATTGTCATCTTAATCGTCATTACAAATGCTAGCCTCTGTGGCAGCTACATCGGCAGAATTGGGACGATCCTTCTTCAGCAAGGCAATGTTGACAACCTTCTCCGACACTCGACGGTTGTCCAGACTTGGCTTTTCAATAACCTTGGTCATTGAACTCACAATTGCCTTCACTGTCCAGTCACGCTCAAATGGTGCAAGGCGCTTCTGGTGTCGATCTGGGCGCTGCAACATCACTCGGTCACCAACAACATATGGACAGTGTGACTCATCCTCAACGAAGTCATTCGCCGAGAGCTCAGCATCAATCAGGTCCCGAGTCCGGGTGCATTTCTGAAACTGTGCCATTGTTGTTGACCTTTTCCTTGACACGTACGCAGCTAGCCCTTGCACATCTCCCCTTCTAGCACGTCATTCATGTCCACCTTCTCCTGAACTGCTGCTTTCAGGTGCCGACGAGTCAGCTGCTGCGGAAAGCTGATACGATTGCTAGAGCGTTTCCGCCTTCAATAGGCTCCCCTGCTTCAAAAATCTTCCACTTCAATAGGCTCTCCTGCTTCAAACAACTTCCTGCTGCTTTCAGGCGCCGAAGGGTCATTTGCTGTGGAAAGCTTATTCCATTTGTGGAGCGTTTCCTGTTCCTCCGTGCAAGCTGCTGCAGTGGCCTCCCGCAGTGGGGAATGCTCCTGGACATCAAACCCTTCCTCCTGGAGGACATCTGCCACAATCTGGCCTCGATTAGCACTGGTAATGTCATCTGTTGTAGCAAGGCCAGGCCACTGAACAGGCTATCCTGCTTCAATAGGCTATCTTGCTTCAATAAGCTATCCTGCTTCAATAAGCTCCCCAGCTTCAAAAAGCTTTTCCAGCTTCAATAGGCTTTCCGGCTTCGACCGGCTCTCCTGCTTCACTAGTTCTTGCATCTTCCAGGACAGCTGGCTTGTTGACTACCTGTAATTGGACGCGAGTGCTTTACGTGGCATTGCATTCCGGGACTGCGCCGTTTGTTTTGGTTGGAATGACCGGTGCATGAGGTGTTTGTTTCTCGCATCAAAGCTGCTGCAGTCTCCCACCTAGGAGAGTATTGACATCATCCTGTGCCCCTTGTCTTGCGGATCACGGCTTGGACGAATTCGTATTCTTTCCCGCGCAGCCATTGCATGTATATGCAGCCGTTCAGGATCTGCAGTACTTTTAGGTGGTCCAAAGTCAGGCGCGTACGCAGGGGGGGGGGGGGGTCCCGTTGCCCGGAAACCCCCCAAATGTTCCAAACGAGCAACGATTTTGGACATTGTTTGGTAGGGTGCGCGTTCGATCTGACAAGAATGCAAAACTTCAACAGATCGTAACTCAGTCAAATCTCGCTCAAATCCAACAATCCAAATATCCATGTCGAATAGAAAACTCTCAGCTGTCGGTAGAAACAATTCACGAAGCGCTGCGAGAAATGGGTCTTGAGATAAATCATTCGTAAGTTGAGCTGCAATCTCGGCAATTTTAAAGCGCGGAGTTCGACTTGAGTATCAAGAATTTGAGACTTTTCGTCACGCTGACTTGCTCAAATCTCCACGGGTTTCACTTGTGATATTCTGTAGAGTACACAGCGGAAAAATCGAAACTCTGCTATCGATGAACACGAAAAATAGAGTGAAATGTGTCTAAGGCGACCATTCAAGGGACTCCTTCCTTCCAAATGTGGTCTCTGTGTACAGGTGGGTCTCCTTATCCAGGGTCATTTGACTGAAATTGACAATCCTTCGTCCTGGTGATAGTGGTTCCCTTGGACAGTTGGTCGCCTTATCAGAGTGGTCGCCTTCACAGGTTTTACTGAAGCTGGAGCAGGACGCGTTTGGGCAAATAATTATTAATTTGGCAAGTTTGGGGCATTTTTCGCACCGTCACTGCACTCTATAGCGCTTGATATACAGATGTAGCATGCTTACAGTGTCCTGGCTATCATGGTAGGCCGCATTCTCTTCCTCTCTCGGATATACCTTTCCACGTCCAGGAAGCCCAAGATTATCAAGATTGAGCACAGAGTAGAACTGAAGTTATGATCTAAGGAACACAAACAAATGCAGAATTTTGAAAATTTCCTAGGGCATTCCTGAAAGGGTTAAAACTCATCGTTTGTGATTCGGTTGGAAACCCCCCTAGAGGTGACCCTGCGTACGCGCCTGAAAGTGTTCCTGGATTGCTCTACTCTATTATAAAAAAAGATTGAAAATACATCACGGTTCGCGTGAGACTCGGCTAGACTGGGTCTTCAGAACCCGTGGGAACGCCAACTCTAAAAACTTTGGGTAAAATAGGATGAAGCGTTCTGGGTGGTTATGATTGAGAAATTGTGAAAAGTTGACTACAAATTAGACACCCTTAGCAAACAACGGTAATGCTATTTTTTACGGTACTCGTACCTTGATCACCCAAATAGCGTTGAAGCTGCAGCGTAAAAACGTTATGGGGGCTGATTTATCGTTGTGACCAACGGTACGTTTTTTGGCCAAATATTGCATAGTCCGTACGCAGTTCACCTTGTATCGCGTATATGGTGACATAAATGGTTGTACCGCGCGAACTAAAAGCTATTCTCAATGCAACAGCGTACTAAAAATAGTGTGCATCTTGCTAAAGGTTGAGCCCAAATCACGGTATTTTTCCCCTTACGGTAATACCGTTACAACATTACGCTGTTTGCTAAGGGTGTCTATTATTTTATATTTTCTCTTCTTTCAAATTTCCGTTGCAGATGAGATAGATCATGTCATTGCAGACAATCGACAGAAATGGTCGGAACCTCTTGCACAGCTGTTGACGAGTAGCGGAAAGGTTCATATCGACAAGGCTGTAGCTGAAGGTATGGCAGGGGTGTTGCACACGGTACGGTCACTACGGTATTGACCGTACCACTATTTGCCCCAAGTACCCCGTAAATCAATAAAATGCCCTGATTTGGGCTCTAAATTACCAAAATTTTCGGCTCAGCCATCCGGCTCCCACAAGTAAACTGTACTTCAGATGACTGACCGTACCACACTAAAATACCCTCCGACGCCCCTGTATGGTGCTCATTTGAAAATGTCTGTCACTGTCAATCCGTGTGTCTGTCTGCTTGTCTGTCTGTGTGTCAATCTGTCTGTCTGTCTGTCTGTCTGTCTGTCTGTCTGTCTGTCTGTCTGTCTGTCTGTCTGTCTGCCTGTCTCCCTGCCTGCCTGTCTGTCCGACTTTCTGTCATAACTATTATGTCTGCCTGTCTGTCTGTGTGTCTGTCTTTCTGTTTGTTTGTCTGTCTGTCCATGTGTGTCTCATACAGCAATAGATAGACAAACTGCAAAACAGAAGCAAGATTTGATACTGACGTCTTGCTCATGCTGTGCGATTTGTCTATCTATTTATGCACACTAGAAAATGGTGCATGTTTTTCAGCTTGTCTGTCTGTTTGTATTTCAGGTTGCCTGTTTGTTTGTCAGTTTGTCAGGTTGTCTCTTTGACTTTCGGATTCTACCGTTCCTTGTTCATTCGGTCTGTGCATTTGAGTGCCGTATAGTTGTGAGTTCTGCGTTGGCATGTTGCATACCGACAGACAGATGTACAGCCGGTTTTCCGGAACACTGAGGTGTATTCGGAGAAGATGCAAATAGCTTCTGGTCAGTTGTGTACATTTTCACTCACAAAGCAACTGTTCAGTACATGGGGTAGTGTCAGAGCAATCACACTTACTTCAACTACCACGAGGAAAAACAAAGCCCATGATGGCAGGTTCAACGGAATTGCGCAGAACAAGAGCAAACGCATGAAAATATTTGCGAGTGAAAAATACGTTTTTTGCACTTTTTCGCTACGCTCAGTCGTGAAAAAACAAAACTTTTACAAAGATTCACGATGTTGAGTAATTTCACCATGCGTTCTTGTGCTTCTCTCCCTGTCTCTCCTTTTCTACCCACCCACCCCTCATGCACCCACATGCGCATGCACACGCACGCGCACACACGCGTGCACGCACGCACACACACACTATCTCTTTCTGTCTCTCGCTCTTGTGTGCAGGCTTCTTCTCCTCGGTGAACCTTGGAAGACTGCGGACAAAGAAGTCGCCTTCAGAGAAACAACAGGAGCAAGAACAGCCAAAGGTTTGCAGGAAAGCATCATCTTCTAGCATTCGAACAAATACACCATCTGGCACTGGTTCCACGTCAGTTGTTGCTGCGGAAGACTACAGTGACCATCTAGTCACCATCAAGTACTTGAAGTGTGAGTTTCTGACTCTGCAGTGATATGGGTTACTAGATTCTATAATTACCGTACTCGAGCATTGTTGTACTGCTCCCAACTTGCATAGTTCTTTTTGTATCATCCTGATAATGCTTCACACCCAGCGTGGTATGCTGGTGGCCACAGTAGAGACGGCTCCCTTCTAGACGCCAAATGCGAATGGGGCACACAGTTCGACCTGATAATCGTGGTGATGTCCGTGACTTTGTGGAGGTCCCGTCCCTGACCTCTGCGAGGTCGGTCCCCTTTTGGTGCATATGTTCTGTGTGGCGCTGTGCCCGCGCGGACTGCTTGCAGACTGCGCAGGTTGCGCCGCAGCGCGCATGGGTGTATTGTACTATTGTACGCATTCTTGTTTTCTCCTTCACTGCCTTCTTCCTGAGACTCTTGTTGAGCAACAACCAATAAGTGAGGTTCTGCTTCACGGTAACACATATCAAAGTACGTATGAAAACCTCGCCGCCGTACGGGATCAAGTTTCATACGGATTTTTCATGCCGTTTTCCGTGTGAAGCGCGCTTCACGCGGACTGGTCTCCGTGTGGAAACTGAGCGGACAGAGTACACGTGGCGTTCGAGCATGCAGAGCATGCTACGCACAGCAGAACCGGCGCAACGTACGAAAAATCCGTGTCAAACTTCACCGCAGTTGACACGGAGTTTGATACGTAGTTCCGTGTAGCAGAACCTCTCTATTATCAGTCCTCTTTGTGTGGGGTGAGTAATCCAAAGGGCATCTCGTCGGCTAAAATTACCCCCGACGACAAATGGCACCTAGGCTGTTGTCACGTGACCTGTTGTCATATGACCTGTTGCCATGTGACCTGTTGTCATGTGACCTGCTGTGATGTGATCTGTTGTCATGTGGCCTGTTGTCATGTGACCTGTTGTCATGTGACCTGTTGTCATGTGACCTGTTGTCATGTGACCTGCTGTGATGTGGCCTGTTGTCATGTGACCTGTTGTCATGTGACCTGCTGTGATGTGATCTGTTGTCATGTGGCCTGTTGTCATGTGACCTGTTGTCATGTGACCTGTTGTCATGTGACCTGCTGTGATGTGATCTGTTGTCATGTGGCCTGTTGTGCTACACTGTTCTGTTGTTGCGTTGCAGGTATGTGTGTGTCCAGTGATGTTAGTCTATTCATGACGGATCTGACTCTGTTGAAAGGGATCGATACGCACGCGAACGTGCTTAACTTGATAGCTGTTTGTATGGATGACAATAAGCCCGCTCTGGGGTGTTTTGACGGCGCAGTCGAGTACAATTTGAAGCGCTACTTCAGCGAGGAATGCCAAAAGGACTACTTGGTCAGTTTGGCTGGTGCACGTGTGTGTGTATGTGTGTGTGTGTGTGTGTGTGCGTGTGCGTGCGCATGAGCGTGTGTGTGTATTCTGTGCGTATTCTGTGTGAGTTGGTGCGTAGGAAGTTGTATGCGAGGCAGGGAGATGATATACATAATCCTACGCAGCTACGAGGGCATGACGTGCGCCCCGAGGGCGTTGCGACCGCTGGCAAGATCACTCACATGAGCGAGGGCCTGATCAGAGCGGCATGCCCGACGTAATTGTGTGGGATTACACTTCATACAAGGCCCACATCACAAACAACTTTACTCGGTTCTGAAAAGCTTGGTTTTATTTCAGTTTCGAAATGAAAGCAAAGTGTAAGTCCACGATTATTATGGCATGGTTGATGATATACATAATCCTAGACGTGCGCCCCGAGGGCGTTGCGACCGCTGGCAAGATCACTCACATGAGCGAGGGCCTGATCAGAGCGGCATGCCCGACGTAATTGTGTGGGATTACACTTCATACAAGGCCCACATCACAAACAACTTTACTCGGTTCTGAAAAGCTTGGTTTTATTTCAGTTTCGAAATGAAAGCAAAGTGTAAGTCCATGATTATTATGGCATGGTTGGAGGGCAATAAAGGACCAACCATGCCATAATGGATTTATCACTTTCAGCCTAACATTACTGGAGACACTAACCTGTAAGAATCAAAACTAAAGGAGGAAGTCGATCTCGTGTGCAGCAACACGTACCTGAAAGGAAAGAAAACTGAGAAAAGCATAGATCTCCACTTTCGAACACGCGTTCACATGTACACTGCACTTTACACAGTCACCGCGTTCAAATCCCGTAGATTCAACGCGTCCAGTCACTCCTGTGTCACTGTCAGGGTTGTCACGGAGGACGGGCGTTGGACTGATTTTTTGCCCGCTCATACAGATCAGTGATTGGCCAGATCCTAGGTAACAGTCACGTGACCTGTGATAATACTGTTTATTGTAGTGTAAGATTTAAAATGAAAACGGCTCGGGGAGAAGTTATTTCCCGATCCAAAATTTGGCCGTGCGTTTCGCTGGACCGGAGCAGCTGCAGATTCCGACGTTGCTTCTAGAGCGAGGAGCTCTGCTGGTGGCAAGCTTCTGAGAAGTTCGTCAACGTCAACATCGCCGATGGCGCTAGCACTCCAGACTGGAGCAGGCTGGCTGAGCAGTAACACCGTGGATGGCACACTAGCACTCCAGACTGGCGCAGGCTGGCTGGGCAGTGACACAGTGGATGAGACACTAGTACTCCAGACTGGAGCAGGCTGGCTGGGCAGTAACACAGTGGATGAGACACTAGTACTCCAGACTGGAGCAGGCTGGCTGGGCAGTGACACAGTGGATGAGACACTAGTACTCCAGACTGGAGCAGGCTGGCTGGGCAGTAACACAGTGGATGGGACACTAGTAATAGTGCTGGTTGACTGCGAAATAAATGTACATGGCACGGCTGGCAGAGATACTGTGCGCTGCTGCACCTGGGATCAGTGCTGTCTGTTTTCTGTGTTGTTTCCTAGACGCCATATATGGATCAGCTACGCTACTGTGTGCAAGTATGCAGGGGATGTTCGTATCTGACTTCGAAGAACATTGTGCATGCTGACATCGCGGCTAGGAATTGCTGGTAAGTTGCCAACGCCATGCTCCTAAAGAAGCCTTTCTACCTTTCTTCAATAACATCTGGCCACTGCAAAACGTACTAAAGGACTTGCGATCTACTTGCGATCTTCTTGAACTTCCCAACGCTCAATCACATTTAACTGTCAGTGTAATTTTGCTTTGTCTGATGAAACTTACACACACTCTCTCTCTCTCTCTCTCTCTCTCTCTCTCCCTCCCTCCCTCCCTCTCTCTCTCTCTCTCTCTCTCTCTCTCTCTCTCTCTCTCTCTCTCTCTCTCTCTCTCTCTCTCTCTCTCTCTCTCTCTCTCTCTCTCTCTCTCTCTCTCTCTCTCCCTCTCTCTCTCTCTCTCTCTCTCTGTGTGTGTGTGTGTCTCTCTCTCTCTCTCTCTCTCTCTCTCTCTCTCTCTCTCTCTCTCTCTCTCTCTCTCTCTCTCTCTCTCTCTCTCTCTCTCTCTCTCTCTCTCTCCCCTCTAACTCTCTCTCTCTCTCTCTCTCTCTCTCTCTCTCTCTCTCTCTCTCTCTCTCTTCCTCTAACTCTCAGGCTAACGAAGGAGAATGTTGTAAAGATCTCTTGCAACGCTGGCAGTCGGGACATGTTCCCGGATGATTACAGTGATATCAACAAAGGGTGTTGTGCACCGTTGCGTTGGATGGCCGTGGAAACCATCAAGCAGAACGTCACAAGTCGTTATTCCGACGTGGTGAGTCTTTTCTCGGAGTATGTGATGCGCAACTGGCTATTGACATTTTTTCAGGACGACATTCAGCAAAACTATGTGATTAAAGGTGTACCTTGATTTGAATTACTTAAACAAGCGACGAGACAACGACAGCGTAAGAATCGTGATTGAAACGACCAGTGAAATTGACATGTGTAACGTTTCTCCTCCCGTTATGTTGCCTTCAGTGTTACTTCTGGTGTGAATCATTCAAAGTCTTTTCCAAAATCATAGTTGGCAAAAGCGTATACTCAAAGTGTTCTGTGCATTTGTGTGTACGAACGTGGTTGGCTACATGAGTGTGTATATGTATGTGCACGTGTGTATGTGCACGTGCATACGTGCATACACTCACATATGTGTGTGTGTGTGTGTGTGTGCCAGCTATTCCGGTTGGTGGGTACACTTATGCCTGATTGTGTTGGGTCTGTTGCCAACAGGCTCGGCTGCTTGAAGGTGTATTGTTGTATCTGCCACCTTTGTTGGTTTCAGGTTACTTTCTATTTGAAGTATACATACCTGTTAACCATGGACTGCTTCTGGCTAGATTAACTCTTGTGTAATCAATGATGCTAGTGACGCTTAGATCAGACCCACTCTGATTTAGCCACCCACACTAGTAGCAAGTATTACCTTCACTGGGGGCAGGGGTAACTGCAGTTGGATCCCAGGACGGATACCCTGATGCCGTCAATCCTTTTTCTGCACCTTGTCCTCACCCACTTACTGAGGTGTGGTGAGCCCATAAGTGGGATCATTTTCAAGTCCACCCAGAGTTTTGGGGATTTCAGGGGGTGTCGGCCGTTGGGCGGTTCAATAGCCAGTTGAGTCATCTTTCCAAGATTCCTTTCGAGTCTCTCCCCTCTCCCGGGGAGACCCACGTGACCAGTTTTGGCAGTGAGCAACAAGTACAAGTACAAGTGTGTGTGTTTGTGTGTCTGTCTGTGTCCGCGTCATTTACATAGTGGTCATTTGGCGTTCTCATCTGGGAGATCCTGGTGTTGTGCAGCGACTTGCCGTACGACCATCTCAACGACACTGAAATAGAGGACTACCTATCCGCTGGCTATCGTCTGGTGCAGCCAGACAACTGCACTGACCAACTGTAAGTCCCTTTTGACCAGATTTTCGGAGTATAAGCCACACTGGGGTATAAGCCACACTGGGGTATAAGCCGCACTGGAGTATAAGCCACACTGGAGTATAAGCCGCACTGGAATATATGCCACACTGGGGTATATGCCACACTGGAGTATAAGCCACACTGGAGTATAAGCCACACTGGAGTATAAGTCACACTGGGGTATATGCCGCGCTGAAGTATAAGCCGCACTGGGGTATATGCCGCATCCAGATTTTTGTCGCGAAATATAGGCATCTACCCAATTTATCACCGTTACTTTGGCCATCGTAGTGTTAGGTACCTCCTCGCGTACGTTGTACAACCTTTTCCAAGCTGGCCTGCATGCGCCCTTGTACTCACCTTTTGTCTCCTTTGTCACCTTTTATTCCGTTGGCCTGGGTAGCTACTTGCGCGCCCATATTTGCCATAGCTACCCAGGCCCTTTATCTTGCCGCCCTCACTCGATCTCTTGTCTCGCTCTTCCACAATGTAGTCGTTTCGTTTGTCTTGGTCTCCGTCTCTTCGCCTCCCGTAATGAATGTCGTTCCACCTAACCTGTTCCCGTTGTCAGTTGGGTCTGAGGAGTATGACTCGTCGTTTTGGTACTCAACAGTAGTATGAGCAATGTTTTTGGAGTAAATTACTTGTGTTTAAAGCGTGGCTTATACTCCGCACAATACTGTACTGACTTGATTATAGTGCCATGCGCGTGATTTCCGTAAAGTGCTAATTAAAACTTCGCTGTGTCTCCTACATCTTGCTCATAACAGTATGCACCACCGCCGTCCAAAACGGTCTCTCGGCTACGATCGTTTGCAAAAGTAGAAATAGAACAGGAAAGGAGATGGGCCTGCAAACATTTGGAATGAACTGTGTTTTTTTAGCTGATGAGACAGACCTAACAAAGTCAAAGAAAAGCTAGCTTTCTGGAGGTATCTCCGAGCATGTTAATTTCTACGTTGTGAAAATGGCAAAGAATGTCTGTGCCGTTGCTGGTGTTCTTTCCCGGCCCGCTGTTCCGCTAGGTATTCAATCATGGAGAGCTGCTGGGTGGACGCACCGGCCCATCGGCCCGACTTCAAGCGTCTTTGCGGTAAGCTGGAGGCCATGTGGAAAAGCGCGGTGGAAGCGGGCGGCCTTTTCCCGCGAGCGTCTACCAAGTCTGCACGCGAAAGCAGTGGAAGGTTCTCTAGGAGACAGGCTCCGAGCGGCTTCAACGCGTGTGCCTCCATCGCACTCGCTAACACCGGCGATTCGCAGTGCAGAACGGTTAGTGCCATGCTGGAGAGATCGAACACCATGGAAACCAGCGTATCCTCGTTTTCGAATGTGCCGCATTTGCATCATCAGCGCAACCACAACTACTGCGCAAACGCCAGCAACCAGCGGCGAGCAGCCATAGGTGAAGACGGTGATGCTGCCAATGATTACGCAAGCGCGGGAGCTGCCGTCGCGGCTGCTGCTGCTGATAGCATAAGCAAAGACACGTACGACAACACGGCTATCAGTGTCTGGTCTCGGCCGGCGTACGCACGTTCAGTCAGCGCCTACTCTGACGCGGGTACTCCACCGCTGTGTTCCACTCCGCTGTCTGCCGCCGAATGGGACGTTGCCTGTCGCGCCGGTGTCAGACCCGGCAGTACGGTTATGAGATATCAATCTGCGATCAGGGAAACACCGTCTAAGCAAGGAGTAGAGGTTCAAGCAGGCAGTTCCTTGCAGCAGGCAGAGTATGCCATGCTTAATCGTGTTCCTGCCGTGCCAAAGCATGGCATAGTCAAGCGGAAGCCAGGTAACGTGAGCTCTTCCGGCGGTGCTGCCGCTGCCACTGCTGCAGGGTTTGGCGGACGCCGTCGACAAGTCTCGCTATGCTTGGACTCGGAGGGCAGCGTTCCCGCCTTGTTTGGCTTTCCCAGCGACGACAGCTTCAACTTCCCCGCCACGCCGTCCTCGCAGTCGCTGTACCAGCCTGCGTCGGACACTCGCACCAGCAGCATACTCACCCCCAGCTTTCTCGGCGGCAGCTCCCAGTCCAGCTTGGTATCGGCGAGCAGCAGCGCTCGTCCACCCAGGCCTGCCAAGCCATGGCAGCAGCAGCAACAACACCAGCAGCAGCAGCAGCAGCAAAGCCGCCAGCGCAAAGTGTCACAATCCTCATCCATGGAGACTCCACCGCACGCTTCAAGCCAGGGTATGGCCGCTGCTGCTCCTGCAATGCCAACGCCTGGCAACTGCTCTGGACCCGCACACTCTAGCTTGGCTGGCAACTTTCGTCGGTTTCATGCCTTCGGCGTTCTGCAAAGCTGCAGCGAGATCAGCGTGGACGACGGAAGCAACAGGGAAAGCAGCGTCTCCGAGCAGCACCCGAGCGCGCACACTACCAGCAGTGGCAGCCCGGGTGTGCATCCGGCAGGTGTTCAACAAAGCATCTCGGCCGCCGTGTATCGATCATCATCCACGCCCCGTGGCTCTCTGTCACCCGCTCCAGGCCCGCTAGCGATGACTGCTCACGCAGCCGATAGTCCGACCAATGAAATCGCTGATGAGGATTACACGGAGATGGAACCGCCTCCTGGCCGCGCAAACATCGACACAAACAACAACAGCAAAGATGGCGGTGGAAACCTCGTTAACAGTAGCATTGACGCCATCAGCAGAGAACGGGAGAGTAATGTGACGAGAGCCACACCGGAGGCCACGTCTCCGCGAACAGGACTAGTACGATCCCGCGGCCGATCGCCGTGCACGCAGATGCACCGACCGGGAAAGCGACATCACCCTCCGAGTCAACTCCTCTACACCAACGTTCCCTTAAACACCGCGCAGAGGCGCACGTCACCTTCAACGGGCGTCTTCCCGCCAGGCACCTTGCAGCTCTCCGTTCTATCTCCATCGCCTGTCAGATCGACACACCACTCCCGCATCATGCCGTCTGCAGAGCCACAGCCGGTGATGTCGTCCTCCCCCGTGACAACATCACAGCCTCCAATGCTGACATCATGCCCACCAACGATGACATCACACCCTCCTCCAGCGAGGACACCGCAATCGCACATATCAGTGTGCTTGCTGGACGAGGACAAGGACACCAAGGCAACTCAGTGCAGCTCACCGACGACGCAGAGGTCACGTACTGTGTCCCACCCCGTTGACATCCCCATGAGAATTGCCGACTCTTAGGTGGTGGTGCCTTGTATGTTCGCGCAATGTGTAAGTAGTCTGAATCTTAAGTGGTGGTGGTGTCGTGTGCGTTTGTGCAGTATGTAGTCAGTCTGATGAAGCGACTTGTTTAGTTTACACCTGTTTGTGGTGTGGGTAAGCCGAGCTGTTCTGTGTTCGCAGTCAGTTTGTGTTTTCATGGAATGTTTAGGAGTGTTCCTGCACTACATGTACATCAATGTGAGTATGCGTGTGGATGTGTGCATCCAGGTGATTTTTAGGTAATCGTATGTATTGCTTGCCTGTTTTGTGTGCATGTGTGTGTGGGGGGGGGGGGGTGCGTGCGTGTGTGTGTGTGTGTGTGTAGGTGTGTGTACCTGTGTCCTAACATAGCCATTTGTGCAGTTGATTGTTTTCTCAAAATGACATGAATTGAAAAGAACTTGAGCATTCAAGCTGTGTCGTGTTTGCTATGCTTTTTTGTTCGTTTTAAACATGCAGTTTTCCTTCTAGCTAGCGCTCAGAGTCAGTTGTTACAAGTTTGAACGCCCCCAAAGCCTGTCACTTCCGCACGTTCTTGCCAGTGTCAAACTTTACTCCGTGGATAGCGTCACCCAGGTCCCATAGCACTCTTACTCATGTCCATGTATTGCTGCCAGCTCCGTATGCTACGAGCTGCATGTGTTTTGAACTGTTTGATCAGCTTTGCATAATTATGATCATTATTACTGTATTATTATTATCCATGTTTCTCAGTTATTCCAATAATACCGAGTGATTCGCTGCTTTTCCCCTTTCCAGTACTCCTTGTGGTGCCCATACCCGCCATTTATACCCATTTCCGCTTCCTTCCTTCTTTCCAGCACTTCTCCCCTATGTCCCACTTTTCACTCATATGACGGCATTCCCTAGACAAGTTCTGATTCGCAATCACCCAGTGGCCGAGTGGTTGTGTGAGGCGCGGTTTCGCACTCCGCAGCCGGGCATCATGCCCTCATGGGTCAAAGCCACACTTCCAGTCCCCAACAATGGGACAGAAATCAATCTGTCCCCGGGCTTCACTGCAATGATTTGATACAGTTTTGCTAGTTGACACACAATAATCCAATCCATAGGGCACATCAGGTGCTGTTGACCGGACTGTATGGCCCTTTGACATCATCCCCCATGGCATTGGAGGTGATACAAAGGCGGCTGGACACGTACACATTCACGATACAGTGATTTGATGTGTTCAGAACTGGTCCAGGGCAGATTGGTGTGGGATCTGGTCCAGGGCAGATTGGTGTCACGGGATCAAGTTCACCTAACGCAACTGTAGAGCGTGGCATTCGTCTCTACGTGAAGCGGATTTACACCGGAAAACACACACACACACACACACACAAACACGTTCAAACGTACAGGTGAAACACACGTGAAAAATTATCATCAAAGTTACGCATGCACCAGCGTCTGGCCAGCACTGGGCAAAACAAATCAAGAAAACTGCAAATAGCATAATTATAGTATACATAATTTCGACTGGAGCCTAGTAGGGTATAATTATATCTATGCGACTTACATCCCACTCCAAACGCCATAGACAAGGGTGCTTATCGTGCAGATCAGGTGGTCCATATCCAAACGGGAAAATATTTAAAACGCTTATTGAGTAAAACTCGTTGAGAAAGTGATGGACATCACGCAACTGCATTGTAAATAAAAAAAAGAGGGGTTGTCAATTGACAACCGCTCTATTTAGCTGCTATTCACCCTTTAGATAAAAATTCTTTTATTAATGTCGAAAAAATTATTTTTGAGTAAACCTACTGATATAAAAGATATAAAAGACTAAAAGAAGAGAGCGGAGAAGATTTAGATTAGGATCCTGGAATTTTGCTACCACCATTTTGAGTGTCAATTCAAGTCGAGAAATCTTGTTCGATATCGTAATTTGTCACTGCTGGCCAATGATCACCAGAAAGAGGGTTAAAAAATTGTGCTGACGTTCCCCCCAGGGGGCTGCCGGAAAGGTGAAGGGAATTCGCCTGATGCTCCGCTACAGCTAGCAGAGAAGGGAATTCCCCTGATGATGTAATGCAGCTTGCAGAAAAAGGAATTCCCCTGCTGCTGTGCTACATCTAGCTGAGTCATCACATAGCTCTCCTGGCTGAGGGTTCAGCTGCAGTGTCGTCGCTGTCCTTCTGATGTCTCTTGTTGATGTCAGCATCCATTGCTGGATTGATGCCGCGAATCATCAATCCCTGCGTACATGTGTGTTCATGCATGCACACACACGCCCATATGCACACATATACACACACGCACATGCACACACACACACACACACACACACACACACACGGACGGACGTGCACACAAACACAAACGCACACTCAGCCAGGTGCGCAGACGTGTACTTTAACCTCGCAATTGCCATTGTTTAGCGCGGACGCTTGCTAATTGCACGCAAAGAGCTTTCCAGGAAGACCTTGATTGTGAATATCAACCCAGAAATGATGACGTTATTCAACGTATTGGCAAATAAATATGTGCAAGAAAAACGATATCGTATTTTCTGAAAACACGGTTTGAGTTTGAAGAACTGACAGTACAGAAGAAAAATATGCCCCTAGACGAAGCCGGTGCATTCTGATCTCGTCATCATAAAACACAGCCCCCTACAGTTCAATATAAAGTAACCAGTGATCTCCTTCGATCCTGAGGAACTCGACAACACCCCCCCCCCCCCCCCTCGCATCCCAGGGAGCAATGTAGTGTTTGCTTGTCAAACCAAACCAGTTGAGTACACAAGTTCCCATGCAACGCAGTCCATGACACCGCACCTGTAGCTGGTGAAGCCTACAGTTCTGTCGGTCGCCAAAGAGCGGGGGGGGGGGGTCAACCTCCTGGCCTAGACCGTTCTTATTTTCAAGTATTACAGTCTGTGTGCAGTTAAGTCACCGTGTATACATTGGTATATGCTGTGCTTAGTGAAATCCTAGCCTGGCAGTTCTTCGGCACTCCGTTCTTCGGCACTCCGTTCTTCGGTACTCCGACAATACTGTAGTTTTAGATCAGACGTCCTGAACTAGGCTACCCGCCTCTGGGTCATCCCTCAAACACAGATTTATAATGATAATAACAGAGTCACGATGCGATGACTTACCATTCCGGGACTAAGGTGAATGGCAGACGTGGGCTCATCACCAGCTTCACGCAGTTGAAACAGGAGAATGCGACGCGGAGTGGAACTCTTGTTTGGATAGCTGCATCAGACAATGCATTACCACACATATCACTCACACAGAGACATAACACACAGAGACATACACCCACCCACACCCCGCTCACCCGCAAACACAAAACATATGTGCACACACCCGCACACCCGCACCAACACACACACACACACACATGCTCGCACACGAGAAAACCTGTCCTCATCGTCCTCATAGGCTATCAGGGATCACACACACCCGCAGCTCCTTTTTGCTACATAGAGCACGTAGAGACTGTTGCCGGGCGACTAGAAATGGGGCAACACCCCGACAATGGGCTGAATGACTCATTCCTGCTCGGAAGGGGAGGGGGTGGGTGGGTGTTACACTCACCTGCCGTGTACCAGAAAGTAGGGGAACACCAGCACTTCACCTTGCTTGACAGGGATTGGTGTTGCCTTGGCAACGGGATACTCCGACTGGTCGCAGTAGTGGTGTTTGCCCTCGCCGTGGTCGGGCAGCGGACCCAGCTTGTGCGACTAGTGTGGGGAGTGTGCACGCGCACATACACAAGTACACACACATACACAGGCACACACACGCGCACACACATACACACGCACACACACACACACACACACACACACACACACACACATACCGTATTTTCCGGGGTATAAGCCGCACCCCCCTTTTTGAGGCAAAATATTGACTAAAAGTTGGTATTCGGAGTATAAGCCGCACCCACAAACCAAGATTTTTCACACTCATTGACAAATGGCCTTTCTACAAATTTATTATGGTTATGGAGCTAAATACCATGTTAGATCAGATTATGAAGTGTTAGTGCACCACAGGTTGCTACAGGTTGCTGCAGAGATGTTGGTGTATTGCTGTATTGACTACAGATCACTCCATGTCATCTGCACTATCTTCAGTCTCGCTGCCACTGATGTTGATCAGCAACACAGGCGCGAAGCTGAGTCGAATGACATGTCACATGACGTCAGCATGCATACTGATGTATGCTAAGCATTCATTCGCGCAAGCATATTCGGTGTATAAGCCGCAGTGGCGATTTTGGTCCGATTTTTAGCGAAAAAAAGTGCGGCTTATACCCCGGAAAATACGGTACTGTATTTATACTTGCTGACTGCATGGAAATGATCACATGGGTCTACCCCTCCCCTGAGGCAGGGGAGAGAGATTGAAAAGGAAATCATGGAATACTACGGAGGATTAGCAAGACGAAATTCGCGTTCGCGTTCGCACTCCAAGGAAAGTCGAACTCAGTGACGGAATTCGCGTTATGAGAAGGATTAGCAAACAGAATTCGCACATGCATGACGTTGACACGGCGTACATTGTGTACAGACAGTACAGCGTGGTAAATTTATGGCTGCCCTGACACGAATCCGCGATTCGTGTTCCGACTACTTTTCCGAACGAAAAATGCGAAAGTTCGCAGTCCAGTTCGCGAACTGAAAAATGTTTGCGAACGCGAACGCGAATTTCGTCTTGCTAATCCTCCGTAATGACTGTAGTAGTACTGAAATAGTTATAGTAGTTGTTGTTATTATTTTACTAGGGGAGTCCCAACAGGCTACTACTGCCTTTTTACTGGGAACCCTGGCCTAGGTGAAGTTTAACAATGTTTATGAACAGAGCAAGAGACTGGGCCTGTCGACAGTCAACTGGAAGAGCGTTACATCTGCCTGCCGCCAGCATGCCATACCATGGATTAACAAGTGGGAGGACTAAGGCTCTTTGGGCCTTGCCGCGGGTGCATGCCTGGTGACCAGGTGCAGTTGCCCGGAGTTGGTACAAAGACTGACGAAGAGGACTAGCAAGATACTGGGCCAAGCAGCGGGACACAAAAACATAGAACTTGAGGCTAATACGCTGTTCCAAAGAATAGAGGCGAAATAAGCGAAGAACTAAACCAGTGGGAGTGGTACGATTGAGTCCAAACACTCTCTTCATTGCTGAATTGGCTATTGAACCGCCCAACGCCTATACCCCCCCCCCCCCCCCCTGAAATCACCAAACCAGGTACTCAGCATACAACAACAGACAGAGAGACACAGATAAGCCAAAGGGCGGTGAGAGGTGGGGCTCGGCAAACATGGCTGAGTATTAAAAGAACACCCATTGCATGATGTCCTCCATGCCCTCACCTTGGGATAAGCACAGATGCATCCGTTCACCTCGGCAGCGTCCTCGAGATGCACCATCACTGCAATCATGGAGTGGTTCTCATGAGGAAAGTACTGCACACACAGCAAGGTGGACGTAATACACACACAAGCAGCATTCACACATTTGTACACGTTCCTCGCACACATTCCCACCCGACCTCGCACACACTGATACATAATCCTCGCAAACACTCCTGCCCGGCCTCGCACACACTGGTATACATAATCCTCGCGCAAACACTCGTACATAAGTTATTCCTCACACACACACTTGTACATGCTCCTTGCACACATTTGCACAATGCGTGAGGAAAGTGTACGAGAGGGTGTGAGGAACGCGTTATGTTCCTCGCACACAATCATACACTTTCCTTGTACACACCCGTAACTCCCCGCTACCACTCGCACATGTTCCTCGCACACACACTCGCACGCGTACCTCACATATATGCATATGCATCCCGAAGGTGACAGCAACTTCCTGGCAATGTGCTACGTGTAAAACACGGAGTCTCAACAGAGTTGGAGAAACGGTTCGTATAAATACTACCGCTGAAATGCCGTAACAAACGCCTCAAAGCAATGCATTTCTTATGCTGTGTAGAGCACGCAAGCGTGCTGCCTTGATGCATATTCATTCGCATACGGCCAACCACTGTCTTTACCATACGTAAAAAAATGCACACAAACACACACGCATGCACACATACACACACACAAAGGCACACACACACACACACACACACACACACACACACACACACACACACACACACACACACACACACACACATACACGACCTGTGTAGGTTTCAGTTGACAGCCTACCTGGTAATCTTGATGCGTTGGGAAAGGGCTTCCCTTGAGCGCCGGCTTGACGTGTGCCTTCGTGTGGTGTAGCTATTTACCCCACCATACAACACATACATACGCAGAAGAACACACACACACACACACACACACACACATGTACACACACACACACACACACACACACACACACACATGTACACACACACACACACACCAAGACACACACACACACACATGTACACACACACACCAAGACACACACACACACACACCAAGACACATACACGCATGCACACACAGACACATCTTGAACAATAATTATCATGAAATGCTCATCATTTCAATTTTGTTTAGCGACGTGCACCTAGACAGCTCGTACTTTCATGTATTACAGTCTATGCACAGTGGAGTCACCGTGTATACATTGGTATGCAGTCACCGTGTATACATTGGTATGCAGTCACCGTGTATACATTGGTATGCAGTCACCGTGTATACATTGGTATGCAGTCACCGTGTATACATTGGTATGCAGTCACCGTGTATACATTGGTATGCAGTCACCGTGTATACATTGGTATGCAGTCACCGTGTATACATTGGTATGCAGTCACCGTGTATACATTGGTATGCAGTCACCGTGCATACATTGGTATGCAGTCACCGTGCATACATTGGTATGCAGTCACCGTGTATACATTGGTATGCAGTCACCGTGTATACATTGGTATGCAGTCACCGTGTATACATTGGTATGCAGTCACCGTGTATACATTGGTATGCAGTCACCGTGTATACATTGGTATGCAGTCACCGTGTATACATTGGTATGCAGTCACCGTGCATACATTGGTATGCAGTCACCGTGTATACATTGGTATGCAGTCACCGTGTATACATTGGTATGCAGTCACCGTGTATACATTGGTATGCAGTCACCGTGTATACATTGGTATGCAGTCATCGTGTATACATTGGTATGCTGTCACCGTGTATACATTGGTATGCAGTCACCGTGTATACATTGGTATGCAGTCACCGTGTATACATTGGTATGCAGTCACCGTGTATACATTGGTATGCAGTCACCGTGAATACATTGGTATGCAGTCACCGTGTATACATTGGTATGCAGTCACCGTGTATACATTGGTATGCAGTCACCGTGTATACATTGGTATGCAGTCACCGTGTATACATTGGTATGCAGTCACCGTGTATACATTGGTATGCAGTCACCGTGTATACATTGGTATGCAGTCACCGTGTATACATTGGTATGCAGTCACCGTGTATACATTGGTATGCAGTCACCGTGTATACATTGGTATGCAGTCACCGTGCATACATTGGTATGCAGTCACCGTGTATACATTGGTATGCAGTCACCGTGTATACATTGGTATGCAGTCACCGTGTATACATTGGTATGCAGTCACCGTGTATACATTGGTATGCAGTCATCGTGTATACATTGGTATGCTGTCACCGTGTATACATTGGTATGCAGTCACCGTGTATACATTGGTATGCAGTCACCGTGTATACATTGGTATGCAGTCACCGTGTATACATTGGTATGCAGTCACCGTGTATACATTGGTATGCAGTCACCGTGTATACATTGGTATGCAGTCACCGTGTATACATTGGTATGCAGTCACCGTGTATACATTGGTATGCAGTCACCGTGTATACATTGGTATGCAGTCACCGTGTATATATTGGTATGCAGTCACCGTGTATACATTGGTATGCAGTCACCGTGTATACATTGGTATGCAGTCACCGTGTATACATTGGTATGCAGTCACCGTGTATACATTGGTATGCAGTCACCGTGCATACATTGGTATGCAGTCACCGTGTATACATTGGTATGCAGTCACCGTGTATACATTGGTATGCAGTCACCGTGCATACATTGGTATGCTGTGCTTGATGAAACTCTACTGGGGCATCGGAAGGTATTTTAGTGTGGTACGGTCAGCCATCTGCAGAACAATTTACTCGTGGGGGAGGGGTGGCTGAGCCGAAAATTTGGGAAATTTAGAGCCCAAATCAGTGCATTTTATTGATTCACAGGGTACTTGGGGCAAATAGTGGTACGGTCAATACCGTAGTGACCGTACCGTGTCCGACGCACCTGCTCTAGCCTGTCCGTTCCTCCGCGCCCGGCAGTACTGTAGGCCAAGCTTGCTCTTTTTTACATCCTTGCATTGCAGCATGATCGGTAATGGCGAGGTGCAGCGGGATATCGAATGGTAACGTGCCAAGAGCACATAATTGCAAGAGTGTGCAACTCTCATCTCCAAGTTACTGGTGCCCTGCGCGGCACGCTGCCTTCATCATCTAGTGAAATGATGATCAAGCTGTCTGGATTGGAGCTTGCCCTCAACGATTTCACGTACAATACGGCAAGTTCAAAGGAAATACCCGTGCGTGGTGCATCATGTAAAAACACACGCACATCCGAAGTCTCCGAGGAAATCGGATTGGAAGCAAGAAGCCGTAGCAGATCAATAAAGACGCAATGGTCTACAGTTCATGGCTACGTAATGCAGTCAACGCGCCGCGTCAGACTCCACATGCAGAGTTGCATGCTTTTGAGGCTATGTACTCTTCAACATACCTGTATATTCGGCGTGTTCATGAGCTGCTCCAAGGCCACGCCGAGCTTCTCGTTCAGCATCATCTTCATGAACGTCGAGCTATGAAACTGAACATTGTGAATACTCAAAACGCTGGAGTCTTGCTTCTGTTCAAGACAAACACAGCACATGCAGCAAAGAACTACGGATGCGTGAAAAGACATTACATTTTGGAAAACATTTAAAGTGCATGTGTGTGTGTGAGGGGGGGGGGGGGGGGCACCCTAACTCGCTTGTCTCTCTGGAACAAGACATTGCCCAGAACCCGCAACTGTCCTCGGACTCACATACGTTGGTTTCAATGGGGAATGGCCCAAGATCTGGCACAAGACATCACAATTAATTCAGCAAGAACTAGCAAAAGAGTAGTAATATTTCCACTCAAAGTCCCCCCCCCCCTACAGTGAGCCTGATAGACGGAGGTGCCGGTAACTTGGTGGTCCGGTAACAGAGATAGGAGTGTGCTTATAGCAAAAGCAATCTCAACCAACCTTTTCTGAATAGTCTCCCTTCCATGTGGCCTCCAGGTCGTTTCCACGCTTCTGAGCACGCTCAAACATCGCATCATACTCCCGCTGACACTCGCTGATCTCGTCTTGTGAGTACACGTCGCTGAGGACGACATAGCCCTCCTCCGCGTACTGGGTAAGCTGCTCCTGTGAACACATGATCTGCAGATGGAGGCACGCAAACATACACACATACACACACATACACACACATACACACACATACACACACATACACACACATACACACACACATACACACACATACACACACACATACACACACACACACACACACACACACACACACATACACACACACACACATACACACACACATACACACAGACTTGACCATTTGCCGCTACTGTCGCTTCTGACGATGATTGTGAGGCTACTGCAGAAGCCATAGCAACTTTCGTCCTGGGACTGCATCATTCAACAGTTTGCTAGGCTGAAGAATTGACCGCCACTATTCAGCCTGTTCGATACGGAGCAGGTATTTGAAGAGCCTTTTTCCCTGGCAGTGAATCGCTACTTTTTGTTCCTTTTCTACATTTTCCCGCATACACATCACAACACATACTCCGACATGCACTGGCTGTTGGTAACCACTCAGAGGAAGGAAAGAAAGTCAGGAGACATCTGAAGAAGAGAAGAAGGACACGTGTGGCCATAATAAGCACACACACACGTGCACGAGCGTGGCCACACACGCACACACATACACGCACACATGCACGCACGTGCACACACACACACACACACACACACAAACCATGCACGCACACGCGCACACACACATACACACACACACAAACACACATACACACACACACACACACACACACGTGCACACAACTGCCTCGCGTAAAGAGTGACTAATTGATGTTGGAGTCTAAAGCAGAACTGCCATGCTGAAGGCTAGAACTTATACTGTAAAAGCCATTATTCTAACGAGGCGCATATAATATCCCAAAATTGACTAGTTTACGTGTACCAAAGGTAACGATTCTCACTCATTCTCAACGCTCAATAGGACAGTATATATGTCGATTTCTGTATAACGATTTCTATTTTAACGACAGATTTCTCCTCGTTAACTCGTTAGAGTTATCACTTCGTTATATATATAATTATATTATGGCTTTTACAGTACATGGGCAGAGAGTCAGCTTTCCTACAGCAGGTCGTCAGTTCGTGAGCTGCAGTCCCAGCATTGCCCGACTATGCCCATGTATCACACTCTGTCCTACTGCATCATTACTGATGATGTAATCGCCTCATCACTTATGACGTAATCGCATCATTACCCATGACGTAATCACATCATTACTGATGACGTAACCACATAACCCCAGGACCGCAAGTGGCGATAGAACTACTAGTACTGGTTTTCCATTTCAGTCTCCATGTCCGAGGCACTGCTGTCTAGTTCAGATCTCATCGGCATCCCTGCAATTGGATCTGTACCCACCGTTCAAGTTTGAAAATTCAAATACGAACAACCAATTGGATACTTGCAATGGGGCTGCATAGTGCCGAGTCACAGCCAGGATAGCGTCATGATGCCACCGACGTTTGGATCCACTTGCACTAAATCTATCCATGCACCCATACGTACATGTTGGGCTGGTGTCACGGTACGCTGCCTGTAGGCTGTAGTGACGGCATGCACATCTCCCTATGAATAGTAGTGGTTGCATCTCTGCCTAGCCTATACAGTGCTTCCCTATGGCCACTGTGGGTTCAATTTGGACAAGAAGTGGTTATTTGATCGACGGCTGACGTCATCAACCCCCCCCCCCCCCCCAAGCCCAGTTCCGACTCTGTATGACCTCTTCTACAGTGCGTTTTTTTTATAATAGACTCTGAAATCCTTGAGAACGTACTCAAGGCCACTTTTGAGAAAATGTCATGCGAGTTGCGTCACGAAAATCTGCGCGCGAAATTCGAAAACCAGGTGTGACTCGTGGCATTTCGCCATTTTGTTCAGAGTGTCCTTCGAGCTCCTCGTGGCTGGAGGAATCATTAATTTTGTTGCTGACTGCTCTGTGGCCCTATTTTGCTTTTTCTCGAGTGTCTTTTCGTTCGTGGCAACTTGTTCTCTCGACATGCTACATATAACAAAGCGCGAACGGGCCATGGTAGAATCTACATGGTGGTGTCTGTTTTACAATTTTTGCGAAGACGAGGAGAACAATGGCTGGGCATCGAATTGGTCCCAAGTATTCCATTTGTCATGCTGCTGTTGCGTGTGGCGTCAGCATTTCCACCATGAACAGATGTACCAGGGATGCTGACGGCGAAAATCAGCGTGCTGCGTTGGCCTTGTCTGTCTCCAGTGATGAAGGTAACGAGAGTGACAATCCCCAATGTGAGACTCGTGCCATAAAACCACTCAACCCTGACGGATTTGCTTTGGACTGTATAAGAAGTAATTTACGGATTCTATGCTGCGAAGGAGCACCTAACACTGGACAAAGTTCCTGCTAGCTGTATAGAAAGCATCGACGATTTTCCAGACATGAGCTAAACTAGCTCTTGGAAAATGTTGCGTTCCATGGGATTCCAGTGTGGCAAGACCAGAGGTATCACACACATGATGATGGAACGGCACGGGATTGTGTCATGGCGGCATCGCTACCTGTGAGACATACCTGGATGACACGTGGGTCAATGCGCGTCACACAGTTACTAGGAGGTGGTACGACAATGGTGACAGGAGTGTATAGGCAAGCAACCAAATGAAGCACCGTCAGGTAAAGGCAAGCGCTTAATTGTTCTGCATACTGGTGGACGGGACGGATTCGTGAAAAACTGCGCCGATGTGGTTGTGACTGGAGACCGACGAGGCCGACGCCAACGATGATATACGTCGTCGGCTGTCCTAGCACATCTGTTCACTGTGTAATACTGTCGTCACAAGTGCAACACAAAACACGGAATTAGTGGGGCCGTTTCGACGCTCGCTGGTCTTCTACTATTCGCAGATGTTGAACCAGACACAACTGTGACCTATTTGCATTGTGTGTTTGTGTTTGTGTGTGTTTGTAAAACCGCTCATGTATTGCTTCCTTTTAGTCTCTTTATGGGTGCTGTGTGAATTGCCCTTGTGATTTGTTGTGGTGTTTGAATTTTCACTGCATTCTTTCAGGGATCGAGGGAAGTTTCCTACATGCATGCTGGAATGTTTTGATTAATTTTATTGAGCTAATTGCAATATAGCATTTGAATTATTCAGTACAGTTTGCCACAGTAAGTCGTGAAAAGCCACGACTCACTGATTTCCTACTAAGGTTAGGAGAACTGCAGACAGCAGTGCACAACTGCACAGTCATGTACATGTACATGCATGCGCTGTACCGAAAAAGAAGAATCAAGATGAACTGTCATGTACTGGATTCGAACTCTGGCGGACACCATGCACGTGATGAGCTTTCCTGGCTAAAACTTTCGTTTTAAAATCAAAATCCACTGAAAACCATTTAAAACCGGATTTTCAGCCAAAACCCGTCCGAATATCTAACTTTGACAATTATTATTATTCCGATTCTCAAACTTAATTTTCTTCGATCCAAGACCCACACAAACGCAGCTGTGAAGAAAAAATTTCAAATTTGGAATGAGAACAAACTAAAAAATCAAAATCGACAAATGTCTGTTTTAAAAAAACGCACTGTAGTTGTGTGAGTCTTGGTTGGGTGTGTGCGAAGGCTCCTGTTGTGGGTACATGAGGACCCCATGTTGGGGGCACCCCAATTCAACCCCTGTTGTAAGGGGGGGGGGAGTAAAGACCCCTGTTGTGAGTACGTAAGAACTCCTCTTAGGACATGTCATTGTGGAGTGCTGCTCAATGACATTTGGGTGAATGAATCAAGTAATTTGCGCTCTGCAGAGCTACAGTTTGTAGTAAGTATTCCATAGCCTAGCTCATAGTTCACAATCACAGGTCTAGCGCACTCGACTCATTCGATTGCTGACTTCAATGATGAGCACTGTACTGTCTACGTGGGCCGCCGACCTGAGGCGGTCTGCCGCCGGCGCAGCCCTCGAGGGCCCTACTTCTGTTACTAAAATTTCACCAAAATTTTACTGACCCTAGTTTTGCAACACGTTCATTCAACAAATTCACCACACTCGCACGTACCGTTATTGTTTGCCGCCAAGACTTCCTATAGCTGTAGCCTGTAGGCAGTGGTGGGCTGGAGTTGGGAAGTGGTTCGCCAATGGCAATACGCCACACGCACCTGCTACCAGCGCCGTCTGTACTACCGGCACGGGTGACGTCGTATTGGTTACCAAACAATTATTTGCGTTTGCTGGCAGTAGCGCTTAGCTGTGCCCCACATCCAAGTGCTGTTACTGTGAAGAGAGCTGGAAGCTGACGGCTTCCTTCGATTCCACTACACAAGTCAAAACTGCAGCAGACAACTGGCACTTAGTGTTTAGTAACAAACATCTGTAATAGTCACTAATTATAATACTTTACTACCGGTATTGTGTTATGTTGTAACTAAGTCACAGTAAGTGACTGTCGACTGTATCAATGGTGTGTACACGTACCGGTGCATTCAGGAGTTCATTCTTTTGTAAGACAAAATCTGAACCCCCAAAAAGCTACGTCATATCGAGGTGCATGACTTTAGTTTGTTATGATGTACATGTAGCTCACCACCACACTACACACTAGTACACAGACAAAAGTAGCATGCACTTCTCACAAGTAAGTAATTAGTTCTCACTTCTCAGGCCGGACTACTACCCCGGTACTACATCAGTGTACGAGACTACAAAACGGCTCCCACATTTATGTATTATGCTTTTTTTGCCGCTAAAAATAATGGAAATGTAAAAATTAATGCAATTTTTCGTAGCCCAAAATATTATTTTCTGTGAAACCCGCCAGACCATATACGTCATAGTATTGTCTTTTGCATGCTGTACTATACAATGGTCATGTTCATGTAGCTAGGTGAAGCATGCACTGATGATGCAGGAGCTTGGCTAGCCTCAGACGCTACTCTGCACTAGGGAGGTGGCATGGGCATCCACTTCCCATTGTTGGGAGTTGCGACCCGAAGTTCGGAGGTATTAGTGATGAAGTTGTTTGCTCCAACGAGGAACACACGCTTCCTGCCGAACTTGACACTTGACTGACTCACGACTGCCATCCTGAGCACACGAGGAGCATGTCGCACCTTCGACTCGTACTCGGCATTCGCCAAACCTGCACTGAGACTGAAACACCACTGCCTGCTCACTAGACACTGTGCTCCGGATGTCAGTCGTGGACTCGTGGGTCAGTCAAGTCAAATGTCAAGTTCGGCAGGAAGCGTGTGTTCCTCGTTGCAGCAACCAACTAACTTCATCAATTCTGGCGATGTGGATCCTCCACAAAGTCCGCCATCTTGGCATTGGCGGCCCCCTGCATACCTGGCTCTCTTCCTACCAGGGAGTAGTACAATACCACTCCCTGCTTCCTACCTAGGTGGACGGTCCATTCAATGCTTGGTGGGCGGCCAAACCTCATCGCTGTATACCATATCAGCAGGAGTTCCCCAAGGGAGCATACTCGGCCCTACACTCTTCCTGATTTACGTGAACGACGCGTCAGAGACCCTCTCACCCGGAGCCCACCTGGAGGTGTACGCCGACGACGACAACAACAACAACAACAACAACAACAACAAAACCTACAACAGAGTGTCACAGCAGCTGGAGACTGGCTTCAAAGATGGCACCTGCTGGTTAACACAAAGAAAACAGTCATCCTCCCGTTCTACCACAATAACCGCCCCCCTGAACAGCTACCCCAGATCACCCTCAGGAATAGTCCGCTTACCGTAGCACAAAAACACAAACACATCGGAATAATCTTTCAGCATGACCTCCGTTGGACGGAGCATGTTGAATACATAGTTAAAAAATCACTCAAGTCTTTCAATATTCTTTTTAGACTAAGGTCTACACTCACCAGTGATTCTTTATCTCACTTCTATCAGACATACATACTACCTATATTCTCATATGCGAGCAATGCTCTCACACCGTTGTCACACACTTCCCTTGACAGGCTAGAACGACTCCAGCGGAAAGCCGCCAGAATATGTCTCCACCTTCCCCTTTACACACACTTAGAACACTCCCACCTTTTGCATCGCATCAAATGGCCAACATTATTTTCACGCTTTAAAGTTAAACATATACTCTTCGCGCATTCTCTGCGCCACAATTATGCCCCACCACATATACTCTCGCTGCATACTGCTAGCAACGTGCAACCTTCGTATAATTTACGTCGCTCTCGTACTTGGCACTTGCCAACTCCGCGGACTGACCGCTGTCTCCATTCTCCCCTGTACAAGGCCCTTCATTACTTTAATTGCTTGCCTGCCCAGCTTCGCGAAATCCCTTCTCGTACTCACTTCAAATCCGAGATATCCCTGCTGTTGCACAACTCTGTATGCTCGTGTAGCGACCACCCCTGCCCGTACACTTAATATTAAGTACAAAACTCTGTATGCTCGTGTGGCGACCACCCCTGCCCGTACACTTAAGTAGTCATTAACCCCTTCGCCCTGCCCACCCAATTCTTCCTCACTCTTTCTCCTTTCTTACACTATTATCTCTTATTGGCCACTGGCTATCGTGAGAATAAAGATTTGAAACAACAACTCCTTTAGTGTCAGGACAACACAGTAATGTAAAGAGTAGGGTGTCCAAGAAGGAACCTGTGTATCGACCTCCAGGTACGCCAGTACAGTCTTGGCAGAACTTGTCCAACGCAGTAGGCACAGCAGCGGCGTCAACACCATCGTCCCCTGTTGATTTCAATGTCGACGCAGAGCGCTGGTCACATCGGATCAAGCGCTGTTCTGTACGCGCTGAGGGCGCCGGCCCCGGTCAATCGATTGTATTTCCATGTGCACAACAGTAGGTTAGGGCCGCACTTGACAGCAGGAAGTGTGCCACAGACACGTGTCACAGTGCAGGTGAAATTATGTAGGTCAAGTAGGACCGCAAAGTGGTCGCTGATGGTACAAGGGAGAGCCGTGCAGGAGGGTATCGTTCCATCCGCAGCTGGGGTGAGATCCAGAGTTGTTCTGCTGCCGTGGTGGGGGGCCCGGGGGGGGGGGATGCGAGTAGTGTCATTTCTTTGCTGATGTTGAACTGGTCGCAGCAGCGATGTAAATTGTCGAGCTGAGGGGCTTGGCGCAGGCTTGCGTCGACATTGAAGAGAGCGGGTCTGCTCTGAAATCTTTTTTTCCTAGTATTTACAAAGTAAGAACAATGGTGGTGAACCTAGCACTAACATGTTCATAATAATTATAAGCTTTATTTCAGGTTTACCCAAAGGCTAACGCTTATCTGGGGGATCTCCTATCTGTGCCCTCCATTTTTTATCCACTGACGATGTTGTTCAGAACAACGAAACGTCTGGAGAAGTATCGTAAATATTTCTATCGTTATTAAATTTTATCAAATATACCACTCTTTGGTCTAGAAAGAATACTTTTTTGATATATCTGTGTATGTACTGGTAACATAGTAAAGGAGAAGAGAGAAAGTGCGCAAAATGAGCGTGAAAAGTTAGATTTAAAAAATAGGAAACACAAAGAAAAAAAAGCATGTAGATCAAGGATTAATAGCTATGAAAAGTATGAATGCCGCAGACATCACCACGCAACATGACAATTTGTTCAAGGTTTGAGATTGTGTGTTTCCATAATCGATTTTCAAGCTCCGATCATCAGTGGAAATATTGCACATAAAGGTGTACCAGTGGAGTAAGTGTGATAAAAGAATGTGTGCAACGAAAAGAGAGAAAGAGAGAGAGAGAGTACTCTGAACTGCAGCTGTATTGTGCGCTTGAGTCTTGTTCACCCTCTCTCTTTCTTTATTTTTCTTGCACACATGTGGGTTTTTTATCGCACTGAAAATGTTAGTGCTATGTTCATCACCATTGGTCTAACAGGGCATGTCAGTTTATGGATTTTAGGAAGGCCACAGAGTCTAGGACGAAGGACATAATTATTATCTTAATTAAGAAACTAAAGAATGAAGAACAAAATAATCAAAACATGAATTCGATCGCATTAAGACTGATACCCTTCGTCCTAGACTCTATTGCCTTTCTAAAATCCATAAGCCTACATCACCCGTTACACCAATAGTATCCGTGACCGCCTCCCCTCAATATTCACCACCATTGTTCTGACTTTGAACATTCAATTGACTACAGTATTTCCTTTTCCAACCACATGTTGTACTGTCATACAAACAATACCAATCAGAAGAGGACGGAAAAAGTGTTTTTAACTCCGAGATTCCCGCACTAAGCGATCATCAGAAAACAGCAACGAGTAACTCTGGATACTGGTTTATATACCCACAAAGCAAACGTGTAAATGACAACAGTTGTAAAAGATTGCATCACGGCATAAAATTTGGAAGCTGTAAATGACGGCAGCGGGTAAAGATACTACTTCAAATGACACGCACTGGAGCTGGTTGCCTGCTAAGTGATTAGGTGATGCCTGTGGATAGTTTGAAGTTCCAAAGGTAGTACTTATTCTCGTGGCGACACGTTGACACAAGTTGACTTCTCGTGTGGAGAGAAAGGTGCTTTGGTGTTTGCGCGAATGAGAATTGTTCCGCCTGGCATAAATTGCATCTTTTTGCTTTTGTTGCTGTAGGCCAGTGTTTTCCCGTGGAGCAGGCGGGTGTCATTCTCGTGTGGCGTTGTTTGAATGTTGTTGCTGTTAATCCTGTATATTGGGCTTCTTCTCTGTACCTATGGCGACTCTTGCCTTACACACGATATTCTCTGTTAGACACGCTCCGTCCATAGGACATACATGTGATTCTTTCAAACAATAAGAGGACGGAAAAGTGTTTTTAACTCTGAGTTTCACGCACTAAGCTATCATCAGAAAACACTTAGCAGCAATGAGTAAATCTGGATCCGTACTGGTTTATATACCCACACATGTTTATCATTATTAAAAGCACGTCCGCGTAAGTAGTGGGGGTGCCACTTTCGCTTATGCCATTCAGGATTGATGCCCGAAGAGTGACACAATACAATGAAATCACAGAAATGACGTTGACAAAAGCCGTTAGCACACACAGCAAAATGTTTTTTAAAGTTTTTTTTAAGGATTGAGCTCCTTGAGCCTCTGGTATAATAATGGTACGGGCAAAACAACACATTGTGAAGCATCAGCAAAGTGTTAATGACTGCATCATGGCGCAAATCTAAAAGGCGTGAATGACAGCAGTGATAATAAAAATATTCGCCGGATCCGCTTGAATGTTCAGAACCACACAAACTAGCCTTCGCATCCGCAGGCCACCACTAATGGCACTATGCCTGTTCACCTTCAGTGGCGAATGCAGAACTCACAAGTGAGTCAGGGGAGAGGAGGTTAGTAACGGGCCATAACCCTCTAAACTGCATCCTTGTTATTCTCCCTCCGAGCTGTGAGTACCCAGTTGACCGTGGCCGTGGTGGGTGGGTCGGCACAGTTCAACACGCGTAAAAAGTCATTTTTACACGCTCCTATCCTGCCACCAGCGCGGGTCTTGAACTCGGGACCGCATTATTCGCAGGCAGGCCTGCAAACCAATCTGCGTTGGCGTTGGCTCTGAATGACAGCAGTGCAAAGCGTAAATGACTGCATAATTCCTCTTCCGACAGTTACAGGTCCTGGTGTCGTTAACGCGTTGTCACCTCCGTTGGCTTGTTTCTTGGGTTGTAGGATCGTGTGCAATATTCTGCATACAAAACTATAGCCCACTTTTTTTTTTTTTTTTTTTTTTTTTTTTACTAAGGCCACAGCTTCCAATCATGACATGCAAAGCAGCGGTGCAGCATCGCAGGCATGAATCGTGGACGTGGTGACGGGGTCTGATTTTACGGGGTTACAGTTGAAGATTTTGTTGAGACTTGAGCCTTTAGGGAAGATTTGTTTGGCCACTAGCTGGAGGAAGCGATGTTTGACGTCGGAGGCGACGTTCTTGCCGAACGGTGGTTTGAACCATTTGATGTTCCGGTGACGATTTCTTTTCTTCCTTCTTATCTGGTTCGTTTCACGCTGGTCAAAGTACTGTACTTTCTCCCGGTATCCACTCTCTCTCAACGTGTCATTGTTGATCGGAGTCGCCTCTCTGAACACGTCCTCATCATTGAAAATATCTGTGAGCATTCTGCAGATCGATGCAGGCAAGTTCTGGATGATTGTGGGTGGATGGTGTGACCGGTGGTTGATATACAGCGGCTTGTCGTTCGGTTTCCGCCAAGGGCAGCACTTTCCGGTGGCCAGGTCCAATGTCACATCCAGGAAGTCGGCTCTCTTCAGGTTTGCCTGTATCGCGATTTTCAGTACGAGGTTCTGGAATGTCTTGGTCATCTCCTTTCGTATTCGGTCAGCTTCATGTCCTGACGTAACTAAAATAACAAAAAATATTGGGTGTCACATGTACATAGACCGGAAGAAGGAAAGAGCCTGAAGCGTGTCCTTTTTGAGATTATTATCGCATTCTTGTCTCAAAGGAACCTGCTCGAATATCACTACATGTACAGTAGTCCTTGTCGTTTTCTTCCAAATCACATGTACCATGTACCATGTACCATGTACCATGTACCATATACCATGTACCATGTACCATGTACCATAATATACGCCCGCCCGTCGCAAGAAAAGCACGCAAATCTGCAAATACACTGGATATGCACCCACAGATTTTCTCTGTAATACATGCATCAACGAAAGCGGATCTGATTCAGATTGAAACAGATCAAGACAAGCGCCAGATATCTGTCTAATTCACACAACTGGCGAAGCCATGTGAATCAACTCCTAATGCACACCTGGGCTACACCACACGGAGTACATCAGCATAAACCGGCCAAGACAGTTACATATGCACACCCTACACTTGCTGGGGTAACCAGTATAGACAGCACGCTGCTTTGATAGAAGCAGACACTAGATGCACTGGTTCCTTGAAGTGAAATTGGAGTTGGTTTACCAACCAGCCTCGGCAACTGGGTACTGGGAACCCAGGGCCAATAGACGTACCAACAACCTCAGCCATGAAAGCTATTATAGTAACGACACACAGTGGATTGTGGATCCGAAACTAGTCCAACTTCCAAATGCTTTGGCAGGAGGGTAGCCTTCCGACTGGTTGGACTGTCATACAGAGAGACATAAACCACAAGGACAAGCAGACAGATTGAGGGGAAGGTGCTCGCAGTTTCATCTGAACTTTCTAACCAGAGTCTCGGCCTGCGAAAAATATCACAAACATTTATCCCTCAATCCTCTTTTATCAAGTTACTTATCTCTCCCTCTCGCTCTTGCTCTTTCGCCCTTGCTCTCTCTCTCTTTCTTTCTCTCTCTCTCTCACTCTCTCTCTCTCTCTCACACTCTCTCTCTCACTCACTCACTCTCTCTCTCTCTCTCTCTCTCTCTCTCTCTCTCTCTCTCTCTCTCTCTATCTCTCTCTCTCTCTATCTCTCTCTCTAACCCACCTTTAAGAGTTGATGGACAAGCTACGCTTCCGCACTTGCGGTGTTGCCTGCTCTCTCCTGCACACCGACTGGTCTCATTCCTTCCGCATTCTGGACTTCTTCCCTGTATTCCGCCACGACAGCTTGAACTGCACTGTGACCAGCTACTACACACATCCCAGTCACGAACTGAACACATCAAACAACAACACACACACACACACACACACACACACACACACACACACACACACACACACACATACACCCCACCCCCACACATACACATGAAAACACGACCCACAAAACCACCAGCACAAACGAACACACATACGTACACACATGCACGAACACCCATAGAAACAAAATTAATAGTGATCATGCGCCCTGAGTCACGCAGTGCTGGCAACCTTCCGTATTTGTACGGAAATTCACTCCTTCGGCTGCAGTACGGAGATTAACCTAAATTGTACAGAAAAACATTATTTGTCAGTATCTGCAACTTGGAATCGTGTTGCATGTTTGATGGTCGGCTAGAGAGCGCATGTGACGGCGGAGTTGGAATGTCTTCTACGCGCTAGGCCATAATATTATAACTTATAGGCTCATGTCCATTTCTACCACATGTAGTAGTTATTGTGCTGCAAGTTTCCTTACTCTAACCCAGCTCGAAAGAATAACAAAAAATGCCTTGTATTACTGTGCACAACCTCTCTAGCGGGTTCGTTCGTCCCTCTTGATATTTAGTACTGTTGGTTAGTTTTTATTTCACTTCGCACATTTAAACGGGATGACGACCCAATAAAATGACGGCGAAGGCTTAGCCTAGAAGTGGCTATGGAAGCACATAGTAATAGAATAGGATACTAATAACTGCGAGTAAACGGGGGGGGGGGAGAGAGAATAAGATGTATCTGTGATACTAGGGAGGTTTAGTTCCCACGTAACGGAAACGCGTACGTGGGTGATCCACGTAAAGTGGATGAAGGCCCTTTGAAGGGCATCCACGTTTCAATGTTGTGTTTAGTCACACGGAACAAACAAAAGCATGAAGCGAAAGGCCCAAACCTGGTCAAAGACGAAGCTACCCGGGCCTAAGAAGCTCATCGAATACTTCGATTTCGTGCTTCGGAAACTTCTTCAGCTGAGCACCCTCACAGCTCGCAAAATGCTCTCCATTCTGATTTTCACCCACGTTCTAGCGGAACGTGGGTGAGCCTCCATACACGGTATGTCCCCTTTCAAATCCACCGGATCCGACGAACTCATACCCCTTCCTCTGAAGATCTGTGCAGAAGAACTAGCCGGTCCCCTCTGTCTCATTTTCAACGAATCACTCTCCCTCGGTTCCTTTCCAGACATATATAAAGTAGCGTCTGTATTCCCCCTCTTCAAGAAAGGCAATCCAGAATGTCCCTCTAACTATCGCCCCATATCTCTACTCCCCATCGTATCCAAGCTTCTAGAAAAGATCGTCCTTCATCAACTGCAGCGCTATATCAACACCCACCCAGAGCTCAACATTCTTCCTCCCCAACAGTTCGCCTACCGCTCTGATCATTCCACAGAGGAGGATGCACTTTCACTGGCTATATCAAAGTGGCAACAACGCTTGGATGACGGTCAGAACACCGGAGTGTTATTCTTGGATATGAGCAAGGCGTTCGACCGGGTCAAGCACCAGCCACTCATCAACGAGCTCTACTCCTGCGGTATTTGTGGCACAGCACTGTCTTGGTTCGCCTCCTATCTAAGCGCTCGTCGACAGACAGTGACGAACCCCTCCACAAAAACATCCGGCGACTCCGTGACCTGTAGTCGAGGGGTACCTCAAGGCTCTGTCCTGGGCCCCGTTCTTTTCACAATCTACACAAGACACGTAACAGACGTCACACCAACTCACACATCTAACATACTCTACGCCGACGATATAGGACTCTACACATCGAGCAGCTGCATCAACACGATACAGGACCGACTATCAGAGAGCTTCGATGCGGTTAAATCACACCTCACGGAACTGGGCCTCCTACTGAACCCCGACAAAACTCAACTATTAATCGTCCGCCGGAAGACAACCCCATTTCCACCTACCTTCACTGTCATCTGTGGTAACTTCCCAGTATCCCCTTCCCAGTGTGTCCGTTACCTTGGAGTGCTAGTCGACCAGCACCTTGCCTTCAAGGAGCAGGTCGGGAAAGTTGTTGCTGACGTCAACCGTAAGCTGGCCGCATTCCGCAGAATACGACATCACATCACCACCCAGGCACAACGTTCCTTTTACCTAAGCATTATCCAATCCACCATGGAGTACGCCAGCAACTGCTACGTTCACACGATATCAGCAACCCTATACAACACACTCATTCGATGCTTCAAACGTAGCCTCAGGATAACATTTTGGCTACCCACCATGCCACCCAACCGCCACCATTTGTCAACGCCACAAAATTATTCCTGTCGCCATCCGTTATAACCTAAAGATATTTTGCCTTGTCTATAAATGTGTGCATGGCCGCCGCAGCCCTCTACTTGCCGAGCTTTTTGTACTTAGATCAAATAGCAACCATACCAATGCCTTGACCAGGGGACAGTCCGCCCTGGCTTTAGCCCTGCCTAATGCTTCGTCACGGTACGGTTTCTATGCTTTGCCTTACCTCGCTGCTGACAGGTGGAATTCGCTTCCAGCAGCATGCCGCCAGGCAGCCTCCTTTGCAATGTTCAACAGTACTCTTCGCAGCCTCTTTTGCAACACATAATGGCACAGTATGCAGCCATCGTTTTCTTTTTTCTTTACTCTATTTCACGCACTTACGGCTTTCTTAATTCAGCTCTATTTCACGCACTTACCTAGGGTACCCTGTAAAAAGACTCACAGTCTGTGGGGATTGCCCTAGTAAAATAATAAATACTACTACTACTACTACTACTATGTCGTGAATCAGAAAACGTCTGTACGTGGGTCACTGAGTATCACGTGGTAC